CAAAGCCACCAGCCAAGCCAGCCAGGCCAGCCATTCCTGCGCTCATCCCCTTGCCAGCCCCAGTCCCATACGCGGTGTTGGCGCAGGCGCCGTTGTAGCCACCGCCATATCCGCCTGGATACAAAGGGCCAGGCTGGTAGCATGCACCATCGTAGGCTGGACCACACGGCTGGCCATGGGTCTGAGTGCAAGCCAGGGAACCAACAGGCTTTCCTTGCACAACCTGGCTAGGAAGGTGGAAAGTGTAGTGCGGCTGCACATCGTCATAGTGCGGCACGTAAGGCGGCCGGGAGCTCTGGCACGGCCCCATGCTGGAGCAGCTTTGAGGAGCAGCCTGTTCCGTGCTGTTTGGAGCCAAATCGCTGCCGTGGACATGTTAACTTATTGCGGAGATATGCGAAACTTTGGTCTCTTCGCTATGTTCTGCAGAGCACCCTGGGCTAGATGGGCCAGCTTTTCCTCTCAGATTGGATTCGAGCTCCCTCGGCACTGTACGGAGCCGAGAACCGACGAAACATGCAGCCAGCCTCGACAAACACTGTTGGTTGTCACTCGCAGAATGCCTGTACAAGAACTGCGATTCATCGAGTGCCGCGCTTTACAACGGCACGTTGTGGCCGGCGGTGTCGGCTATGCTTAGGATTAGGAGCCCCACAGAACTGTCGAAGATATGCGAACATGCAAAGGTCTGTCATTTCTACCAGTACATGTCGTCAATGATCTCTGCTGCCAGAAAGCCACCCGCGAAGCCAGCCAGGCCAGCCATTCCTGCGCTCATCCCATTGCCGGCACCCGTGCCATTGCTGGCGTAGGCGCCGTTGTAGCCACCGCCATATCCGCCTTGATATGCGGGGCCGGGCTGGTAGCATGCACCACCGTAGGCCGGACCACATGGCTGGGCAGGGGTCTGATAACCAACCGGCGTTCCTTGTACAACTTGCTGAGTGCATGGCTGGCCAGGGTAGTAGCCAGGCTGATGATGGCCATGCCCATGCCCATGCCCATATGCCTGGCCACCATACTGGGGCACGTAAGGAGGGCGGGAACTCTCGCAGCAGCCCATGCTGACGGCTGTAGGCAGCAACAACTAAATCAAGCTATGGCTTGGGCCTCGTTTCTTGCACACACCCCCGACAACCCTCGGCACAACGGGCAAGCAACATGCGACACCATTGCAACGCAAACCGCTCGGATTTCGGACGAGCAGTGACTAGCAGGCTACCGACATCTCGGCCTTTGGGACAAGCCTTACATTCAACATTGATCCATTCGGCTGTCACGACGATAGGTTGAAAAAGAAAAGCCCCACGCCTAGCTGCCTAGCTACTCTCCCAGGCGTTCCATCAGGAGCGCTTTAGGCCCCTAAACCCTGCTTTGGGTATGTACAACCCCCACTAGAAGTCTCCTTATAACCTTATTACTTAGAGGACTTCGGGGCTGTATTTATAACTCTTCTTTGGGTATTTATAACTCCATTAAGTAAACTTCTTCCTTAGAGGACTTCGGGGCTGTAAGTACCTTGGACTTCCGAAGGTGTACCGCACTAGCAACTTTCTCTGGAGCGAGGCCGCCTCGTAGGTTCTGAGCAAAGACCAATGAGCGGGGTTAGTTTTTGAGAGTTTAGGGTTTAGGGTTTAGGGTTTAGGGTTTAGGGTTTAGGGTTTAGGGCTAGGGTTTAGGGTTTAGATGTCGAGGGTTTGGGGCGAGAGGGGAGGCATTGGTCTCTGCTTCCTTTGATAAGCTGCTCTCTTTTCCTCCACAGCAAGCCTGGAGTGGTCCAAGGCTGATGGTCCCTCCAACAAAACATACGACACCACAGATCCGTTTTTGTCTGCTAGTAGTCTGTCTGTCTTGCTCTCTGTCTGTGTGTATGTCTGTCTGTCTGTATGTCTGCCTGTCCGTCTGTCTGTCTGCGCGTGGCTGTGTCTTGTGGCTGCCGCGTGCCTTCAAGGGACCCGCAAGAAAGGACCACACGAGGCTTGTCGTGAGAAATTGCAGACTAAAGCTGCAAAGCTGCGCAAAACTGCACTTCACGGATCTCATGCTTTGCAGGCCCTGAGGTGCTTAACGTGTCACTTCCGTGATCTGTGCGACTCGACCTTGACACTGAACCCCAACCCCCGCGCTTTCCGCGGAGGACGATTTCTGCACACCTGAAGATGCCCAATCTGCCCAGAAGCTCAGTTGCAAGCCTTCTGCGCCTTGTCGTTCTGATACATCCCATGGGCTCCATCACAACAGGGCGGCCCAGCCGAGGGCAGGAACCGGAGGCATGCCGTAGTGTCGGGCACAAGGCAGCCCTCCATGGCCAGGTTGGCAGTGACCAGCTTGCTCTGCACAGGCTTGCCCTTGCAGGGCACCGGGCATGCCAGGCTGTGCCTGTGCCCAGCAAGTGCAGCAAGGCTTCGGAGCCTTGGGTCGAACTTGGACCTGCTGTTCTATTCCTGGACTGGGGCGGCCCCAACCAGCTGGGCCGGGACCATGAGTCATGGACCCACTTTGAGAGCAGCCCATGGTGGAGAAGGGCGAAGGGCAAGACACTTGAGACGCGAAGCTGACAGACAAGCAATCAACGACCTGGCGCAGCTTCCAACCCCAGGTCTCTACCCTGCCTTTCCGGCCATGCCTTTATGCATACGAAGATACATATAAGCAGACACTAAAATCTATGCTGTATATTGCTATATATATATATATATACATATATATATATATATATGTATGCCTACTCTACCTCATTTCACGAAACATCTTTACTGTCAGCCGCCAGACCTGCAGGTGCCAGCGCGCCTTCAGGGAAACCGGCTCGGGTGCGAGGTCCGTAGAAGGCCTGCAGGCTACTCGGTACCAGGAGGGTTTAGGGTTTTGGGTTTGGGGTTTAGGGTTTAGGGTTTGGGGTTTAGGGTTTAGGGTTTAGGGTTTAGGGTTCAGGGGGAATTCTTCAGGGTTCAGGGTGTAATTTAAGGTTTAGGGCAGTTTGGGGGTTGTGATGAAGCTGACCGAAAGCGCTGCCATGTTTCCGGGATGCCTGCGTCGGGCGCATCTCATCAGCTGCTCTTTGGCCTTCTCCAGCAGTGCCTTGGCAATCTTAGTTTCGGGTTTAGGGTTGAGGGTTTAGGGTTTGGGGTTTGGGGTTTGGGGTTTGGGGTTTGGAGTTTGGAGTTTGGGGTTTGGGGTTTGGGGTTTGGGGTTTGGGGTTTGGGGTTTGGGGTTTGGGGTTTGGGGTTTGGGGTTTGGGGTTTGGGGTTTGGGCCTCTGATGGTGCTTTCTCTATTGTATAGGGCCAACCAGCCATGATGCTGATGCTCAGCGATCCAATGTTCACGGCCAAGTTGGTGGCATGCTTTCTCAAGCCAACAAACCACCTAATTAACAAGTGCTACGTCCCCAGCCTCCTCATCAACAAAAGAAATAGCTCCCCCCCCCCCACTCTTCGAAGGAACGCAAGCAGCCTGACGCCGTGACCTTGACACACTGGTGCTAAGTCAGCGGCAAACGTCGCGGGGCTGTCGGTTAGGGGCATTGTTGGTGCAGATTCCATTGCCTTAGCTTGCGGCGCAGTCTACAAGGTGCAATGTGCGAGACTGCAGTTTTGCTAGCGCTTAAGGGGACTGTTGCAGGGGCAGGGGCCACATCATAGCAGGGACCCAGACACGGACCATCAGTTGGAGCACTGACAACAGAGGGATTATAACTATGGATCCACTCCTCCGCTCTTGCAACAAGCACTTGGCACCAGAAAGCCAGCCGCTGCAGTGTGGACTGAAGCCGTTTGCAACGCCGCCAAGAGAATCAATACAAGAAGAGCGCGCGCGAGCGCGCGCGTACGGTGGTTGACGTGCGCTTCCGTGGACCCGTCGAGCCGTATTTGGGAGACTTTGACAAGAAGTGCGACATTTCGGCAAAAACAAGACAGCTCGGGAACATGTTGACATAAAGGGCTCACAAGGTTCAGACATTCTTGGATGCAGCGCAGGAATGCACAGACAGGCACAGAGACGCAGAGACAGACGGTCAAGGCATTCCAAGCAAAGGTTTCGGGTTCAGGGTTCAGGGTTCAGGGTTTAGGGTTTAGGGTTTAGGGTTTTAGGGTTTAGGGTTTAGGGTTTAGGGTTTAGGGTTTAGGGTTTAGGGTTTAGGGTTTAGGGTTTAGGGTTTAGGGTTTAGGGTTTAGGGTTTATGGTTTCGGGTTTAGGGTTTAGGGTTTAGGGTTTAGGGTTTAGGGTTTAGGGTTTAGGGTTTAGGGTTTAGGGTTTAGGGTTTAGGGTTTAGGGTTTAGGGTTTAGGGTTTAGGGTTTAGGGTTTAGGGGGAAGTTGAGGCTTCTCAAAGCCTCAAAGCAATGGTTTATTGTGTCTAGGGTTTAGGGTCGCAAAAATCTCAAAATCACGAGACTCTCATGCGCACGTGTAGGATGTGTAGGTCAGTGCATCCGAAAGTAGACCGAACATGCCCCATCGTGGCAGTATTTGTAGTCATGCTAGTCATGGCCGTGTCATCGTGGTGGTATAGCAGTCGTTGGCAGTAACCCGTTACTCCGCACAGCCCCTTCTACAGTGGCAACCGCAACAGTACCGTCATCTGCTGAACAAGGCCCGCGCGAGCTTCTCAGCCAGAAGGGAGCTGATGTGAGCGACGCGATGTTCTAAAAGGGCCGCTCCGATCAGAACCTGCGGTGGGTGCCTTCGCCACGCAAGTTGGAAAACTTCTGCCTTGAGAGGGCTCGGTCAATCTCCCAATTTGAGCCCAAACGACGAGGAAGCACGCGGATGCTGTGGTGCCGGAAGTCACCTCCTGCTGAATGCCCGCTGCGCATTGCCATCCCTCACACACAGGGTGCTCAAAACTCATCTGAACGAGTGCCCGCCTTTGGGGCACCTTCATCCGTATCACGGCGACCCCAAAAAAAAGCGACTCTGATGTAGGACAGCCCGAAACGTGCTTCGCAAGGATACATTTCCTAAGAGTCTCCCGATAAGCCCGAACCCCAATCCGCCAGCGCCTTCGTCTCCACAAAGTCGTAGCCAGCAACAGCCGACAAGCCCTCAGTGTGGTACCTGCTTCCAAAAATTTGAGTTCAGGGGTTTAGGATTTGGGGGTTTAGGGGTTTGGGGATGTAGGGGTTTTGGGGGTTTTAGGGGCTTAAGGGGTTTAGGGGTTTATATGGGGGTCCCCTTAAGCCCTAAACTCCTCACCGGCCTGGCATCTTGCTGCCAAGCGGGTGCTTGCTCGAAGGAGATGGAAGTGGAAACCTAAACCCATATTGGTCACTTCTCCATAATATGGTCTGTTTGGGGTCCGTATTAGGAGGCAGCCCCCCTCTTATTTCGGGTTACGCCAAAAGGGACAATTTAGCGAACCCCAATGCCGACTCAACGCGAGGGCACTTGCAGCTGACTCTGCCTTGTGCGCCGTTCTTCCGGAACACCGGCACCTGCATCGCGTGTAGGGTCTAGGGTTTCGGGTGCGGGCTTATGGTTGAGGGTCCCCCTTCCACCAGTTCCTCCGCCCTCTGGTAAAACCTGCTGCTCAGTTGAAGCTGCCATGTGGGGCTGGTCCAACCAGGTACTCGATAACTTCTCGGGAATGATCCCAAGATCTGCTGCGCGTTTGCTCTCAGCTCCTTCTCGGGTTGTACAAGCTGAGCCACTCCTGAAAGCTTTGCCCCCCTAGTACAGGGGCCTTGATAACTAGAATAGGGTATTGGGGGGTTTTGTAGCAGAATTATGAAGGGATCATGTGGGAATACTATTAGAAAAATCATTCCGACCCCTATATTGCCCCCCTTTACTAAACTGCCAAGCCACAACATAAGGTTCTGTGTTTAGACAACGTCAAGTTTGCATCGGTAGGTTGAGGCCCGCACAGCCACGTCCCGTCCTGGCGCTCCGTGCTTGCGGGTGCGGGCAGCACTTCATAGGCTCAAGCCCTTCATAGGCTCAAATGCATTTCTATTCTTATCATTTTTTGCGCTACATGATTTTATGCTACATTGCACTCCAGGGGGCTTCGGGCGTCGGGGGCATGGGACACCGATCTGAATGACTGCGCTGTCCTTCCAGGCCACTCGACACGTTGAAGCTGTCATCAAAAAACCTGGCGGTGGACATACCCTAAACCCTAAACCCTAAACCCTAAACCCTAAACCCTAAACCATGAGCGACGACATGCGGCATCTCCCATGACCGCCCCTCACTGCAATCCATTTGAGCAAAGCTTTCTAAGGAACTGGCGTGATGATGCCTGCATCGTTCTCGTAAGGGTAGCCTTTCTCATTCACAATAACCTGCATGGAGCAGATGCCAACGACTGCCCAGTGAATGGCTGGACCAGTGGAAGGTGAAGCGCGGCGCCAGAAAACTGCGGTAGTACTGAGGCAACAGCACCCGGGTCGCGAAAGCCAAGAGAGCACTCATCCTGAAGTCAGCAGCTCATGTCCACAAGCTCTCCTGGTATCCCCGAACAGGGGCCCCATGTACACCATCAACCCGGTAACAGGAAGATACCCCCTACTTCACATGCCGCATCTCCTGCTTCCTTAAAAGGCTGGCACAAGGCAAGCTGAGGGCCATACATACGTTATATATACATATACATATACATATACATATACATATACATGTACATGTACATGTACATGTACATACACATATACACATATATATATATATATATATACATATACATAGTGTTTTTGTATTTGCCTATTTATCTATACTTATATTATGTATATACATATATATATATATACACACACCTACGGTGAAGGCTCGGGATCGCGCACTCTGAAGGGAGCCGCTAGTCTCCGACCTCGGCACAGGCACTGGCCACGCAGGGGAACCTCAAACTCTACATCCCCAAATCCCAAACTTGCTCTAAACCCTAGAACCCTAAAACCCTCCCCCAAACCCTACAACCCTAAAAGGTTCCTTGAAGCCCCTAAAACCCTAGAACCCCTTAACCCCAAGCCCCTTTGCCGGCTCAGGTAGGGGCCCTTCTTCCGGGAGCTCCGGGTAATCTCGGCTTCTCTTCAGGGAATGGCGCCTGGGTTTCAGGGAATTAGGGGGGGTTTCCGAAAGTAGGGGTACCTTATTGGGGTCCTTACTATACGGGGATCCTACTATTTAGGGAGATATGTTGGGGGCCCACTATTTTCGTAAACCCCCATTTAGGCTTTAGAGCTTCTCCCTTTCCGGGGGCGCGCCAACTAAAGTTCAAATCGTTCAGGGTAGCCATGTAGCGCGGGTTTGTCGAGCTTTGCGTCTAGGGATGAGAACAGGGGACGCTAAACCCTAAACCCTAAAACCCTAAGAGCCCAGGGCTTCGGGCTTTATCGCAAGGGGATTGCGCCATGAGGAAAGTCCCAAGGTCTGTCCGAACAGCACACGACATGGTAAGCCCGAAAGGCTTAGGGTTTAGGGTTTAGGGTTTAGGGTTTAGGGTTTAGGGTTTAGGGTTTAGGGTTTAGGGTTTAGGGTTTAGGGTTTGGGGTTTAGGGTTTAGGGTTTAGGGTTTCGGGTTATAGTTTAGGGTCCAGGGCCCAGGCCATACCAGCCGATTGCGGGCTCCAGGCTCCCCCAGTGTGGCAAGGGGGGCCTGCACCGATAGCGGTCTTAGGATTTAGGGTTCCCCTAAACCCTAAACCCTAAACCCTAAACCCTAAACCCTAAACCCTAAACCCTCTAGACTACCCCCCTAGGTTCCCCACAAGAATCACATCGATTTAGGGATAGTTAGGCCTAATTTGGGTTATTTGAGGGGGGGAACCTAGGGGGGGGTGAGTGTGGGGCAGTAGGGGAACCCATGATATGAGGTGTTCATGAATTGGGAACTTCTCTTCCTTGTGGTCCCGTTTCGGGCTCCTATGAAAATGCGGAGGTCGATATGCAATGTACGAAAAAAGAAGAGAGGACCATAATTTAGAGAACTGCCGAAAATTATCAGCTCGGGTGTACGGGGTTCTTGGGCTCCTTGTGACTTTCCGGCAAGCCTACCCAGCTCCAACAGACTTGGCTGTCAGAACACTATTTCAACCACAAACTCCCTAAACACGAATGAGCCCTATTTAAGTCCCCCCAACCTTGTGTGGGCACCATGAAAAATATCCTGACCCCCACCTTCCCATCCGAAACCAGCGCCACCGGCTTCTCAAAGACGGGCTGCCGCCTGGTCTTCGCGCCGATACGTGTGGCTTTAGGGTTTAGGGTTTAGGGTTTAGGGTTTAGGGTTTAGGGTTTAGGGTTTAGGGTTTAGGGTTTAGGGCTTCTTGCAGCTTTAGGCTTCGGGCATGTTTGGATTTAGCAGACGCGACGCAGGAAAAGACTGCGCTCAGCCGCAGTGTACCGGCCTGATTCCGGAGAACCATCCGATGTCGGTGAGGTACGAGATCTGAGAGCTGAAAGCCATTCACGTGGGGAGGACATGCCATGCGCTTGGGAAAGGTTAGGCGTGGTTATAGGGGCTGCCAATCAATTTCAAGCCGACAACTGCCACACAGCATTTGTTGAACTCTTCTTCTTTTGTTTTGGGGGGGGGAGGGGGGGGATTACTTCTAGCCCTACTTTGAACACTACCCATGACTTTCCGAATAAACCCAAACCCCCGCAAACCCAAACCTCCAGGATCCAGCACAAGTTGGGCCCGACGCCACGATCAGCACCGGCAGCCAGGCCAGTGTCAGTAGCGCCTCCCAGCATCTCAGAATCTCCGGCTTTGTTTCATTCTCTCTTCGTTCGGGGCCTCGGTGGCCTAAACATGCCTGAAGCCGAGAAAACAACCCTTTCCACAGACCCAACTCGAAAGCATGAAGCCCTCCCCCCCCCCAACAGCACGGTGCTTCCAGGCCTCCCACAGCTCGACGACATTCGGGGAGTTCACCTGGGGGGGGGGGGGGTCCTTCAGAGCTTCGATTCATCTTCAGGGCCAGAGTGGCTAAGGATTTGCGGAGACTGAAGGTTGACGGGGTTTGCCTTGGTAGGGCGACTTGTGGCTGTGGGGGTTTGGAGGGCCGCTGGCCTGCACAATCACGACCAGCCACAGGTAGGCGAAGATGGAGAAGGCTGCCGTGACCCAGAAGACTCCTGTGGTCCAGCCAAACTATGCATGGTTTAGGGTTTAGGGTTTAGGGTTTAGGGGTTTAGGGGTTTAGGGGTTTAGGGGTTGAGGGGTTGAGGGGTTGAGGGGTTGAGGGGTTTAGGGGTTTAGGGTTTAGGGTTTAGGGTTTAGGGTTTAGGGTTTAGGGTTCAGGGTTCAGGGTTCAGGGTTTAGGGTTTAGGGTTTAGGGGGATATGGCCAGGCTCGGGCAGAAAGACGCGGCGCATTTTTGCAACGTGGCGCGATGCGTCCATGGCGACTCTGTACATAGCCTCAGCAAAGGAGCCACTGTACAGCTTCTCTGCGGGCAGGGTGCTGTCCTGCTTCACTGCTGAGTTCACAGAAACAGAACCCATATGACTAAATCTTAATGGCTTCCAAGGCGTTCGCCTTAAGCCTTGAGCTTCAGCACACAATTATCAGCGCTGTAGTACACCTTCAGGACTTGGGAGACACTGGCTCTACAAACCGCGCATTCCTTCAGCTTCTGGCCACAGCCTTGACAGGCGAAGATGTGGCCACAGGGCACCATGACGACATCTGCAGCCTTGTCCAGGCAAACTGCGCACCGGGACAGGTCCGCCGTGGTGACCACAACGCTTTCTTGGGCTTCTGTTGAGGCTAACGCCGGGCCTGAGTCTTCCTGCAGATGCTCAGTGCAGGACGTGCTGGCTTCGGAGGCTGGCGCCTCTGGGGGCGACTCCGCGAAGCCGGGCACGCCCATGTCGCGGTAGTGGAGCCAGAGCTCCTTCTTGGAGGCGAAGGACTTCGCGCACGTCGTCGCCTTGCACCGGTGCACGCCGGATTCTGGAAGGGAGTCTGGGCCGCCAGGGATTTTTAGCTCGAAGTGCGCCTGGTGGTGGCCCTCCACGAAGCGCTCCTTATCGATCATGCGGCGCAGGTGCGCGAAGAGCGCCATGCGGCTGGGGAACTGCCGCTGGCAGTAGTAGCACAGTGTGCCGTCCAAGCGGCGGGAAGGGGGTAGGGATGGAAAGCCCTGGTGCTGGGCCCTCTCCGCCGCTCTGGCCCTGGCCTGGGCCATCTCGCGCTCTCTTCTGGATGCGGCCTGCGGCCGCTGCGTGGGCCCCGCGCTGTGCGCGCCGATGAGCGCCAGCTGCTCCAGGGCCGTGGCCGACAGCGCCGGGCCCTCGGAGCTGGACGGAGGCGGGGGCGCCGCTTTCCAGGAGGCCAGGTTCGTCTGGACGTACTCCAAGAAGACTTCCAGGTGCCTCAAGGCAACCTCCTCATCTCCCGCGCTGCCACGCTGCATGCCCAGGGCGAACCAAAGGTCGATGAGGGATCCCAGGCCGCCCTCCTTCGCAGCCTCGACCAGGGCGCCTCGCTCCGCCTTGGGCAAGCTGCCGGCACAGCGGCTGTACCTATAGTTCATGGTTGGTCAGAGTCTTAAAAATTCAAATTTGTATTCCTTCTTGGGTTTAAGTCTAAGTACCCTTAAACATGTAAAATGTTGCCCAACCATGACAAAGGTACTTCTTGTCCATCTCCTGAACTGAGAGCTTGCCGGGGCCCGCCTGGAAGAAGGCCAGGATGTAGGTCAGGCGCTCCAGCAGCGGCCGATTCTGGCTGAAGAGGTGCTCGGCCCTCTGCCGAATGGGAGCCTTGCTGCTCATCTTCGTGGTGTTCCTCTGCTCCCCTTAGAACCTTAATAAACATAGTTTGTTTAAAATCCTCTTGGGCTTTATATAAACAAAATTTAAAAAAATCCCAAGGGGTATAGAGGCTCTGCAGCAGCTGCACGAAGAGCTTCCGGACGAAGGCCTCGCGAAGAAGCGACCAGGGCACCGCACACAGCGAGGCGCCGAGCAGCAGCTCTTCGAGGTCGGGCCATTCAGCATCGCTCTTTGGGCAGAAGGGCTGCTGGATCCACTCGAGAACGGACTGGTACAAGAGCTCATAGCTCTTGCGGAAGGTTGCCAGCAACTTGATGGCAACCTGGTGCACCGCCAGGTACACCCGAACAGCCTTCTCCATGTGCGGCGCGAAGTTCCGGTCTCCCTGGAAGACATCCACGACGATGGCTCGCAGGATGCGCGGGATGGCCTTGCGGATGCAGACAGCCACCCTGGCCTCGTTCACCTGGCCACTGGGCAGGCGGAGGGCGTCGTTCCTCCTGTAGAAGAGAAGGCTCAGCTGAGACAGGATATTTCGCGGAAAGATCCGCGAACCATGCGACTCCTCGATGTAGAAGCTGAGCCTGCTAGTGCAGAGCCGCCGCTTGTATGACGCCTCGGCCCCTTCTCGCGTCACCCCAGCATCGGCCTGCTGCGCAAAGTACTGAAAGTTCACTGCGTTGTACTGCCGATCCATGTCAAGCACCCCACGGTCGGCTGCAGAGAGGACTGCTCGGGAGGCATTGCCTCGCACCCCATCGTTGTAAGCATCCATGTCGAAAGAGGGCCCGATGATGACTTCCATGATGCCCAGCTGGGGGTCATCACTCAGCTCCAGTGACGTGCCCTCGTCCGCCGCCTGCTTGTCCTGGGCCGTCTCGAAGAGGTCTTCAAGATCCTCAAGGACCTTCTGCATCTTCGTGTGGTTGCTGGAGGCCGTGCTCATCATGTGATAGACGAACCAATGCCGGCTCCTCTCTGGGATGGACAGGTTCTCGAAGCTGTCCACGCGGTTCACCGCCGCGCGCATGGTGCCCGCATCCTGCCTCGCCAGGACCGGCTCACAGCGCTCCCAGAGGCCGAACAGGTCCGCCCGGAGCTCCACCACCCCGGAGAAGTAGGACTCGTAGACCCCGAACCTAGCTCATGGTTAGGAGAATATTAACAATGCAAATGTCTATTCCTTGTTTTGGGTTTAAGTGCCCTTAAACATGTAAAATGGTACCCAGCTATGATCAGGAATCTTCTGAGCCAGCTCTGCGTCGTCCCTGGGCTCCGTCTTCAACTGCTCCAGCGCCCGGCTGATGTCGCTGCTCTGCAGCGTCTGCCCTCTTTGCTCCCCGGCCAGGCCCTCGAACATCTCTTTCTGCACGGCTGCGGACCGGCCCTTGAGGCTCGAGACCTCCATGCGCAGGCGCTGCAGCTGCTCGGCATCCACCGTGGACTCAGCTTGGAAGGGGAGGTTCGCCAAGGGAGGTGGCTCGACAAGGGGGTAGACCTCGTAGTCGCGCTCGAAGCTGGTGCCGCTGTGGTCCATGGCCGCCTTCCTCTCGGTGTCGTAGCGACGGGCCTGCTCCTCTTCCAGGAAGAGCCGCTGCTTCTCCTTCTCCGAGCAATAGCGCGGGGCATGGTACAGGGCCACACCCATGGTCGAGACCACATCGCTTCTTGCCCAGGCCTTGCCTGTCACAGGGCACACAAGCCAGGAGGCTTGGTACTCCCAGCACTCCAGCTCCTCGTCAGTCAAGGCCCGGTCTCGGGGGACCAGGCGCCCCGACGACGGCTCCAAGCGCCACATGCGTATCCGCTCCAAAGCATCCCGGCTGAGCTTCGGGCCCTCAGGCGCCTGGCCCTTGGCCAGAACGGGGCCCCTTCCCGCCACCTCCTGGCGCTCCCGGGCTCGCGCGTGCTTCTTCTGGGCTTCGATTTCGCTGAGCAGCGACTTCCTCACGCCGAAGGGCAACTCGAAGGGGGCAGCTGACAGATCCTGATCCGTGATCTCACAGAGCACGCGGCCCGTCACCGACTCCTTGCGAAATCGAGCACACGCCTCACTGTCCAGGCCCGAAGTCTCCAGAAAGTCACAGACTTGATCCACGGTCCAGAGGCTGATTGCCGGTCGGCTTCGAAGCCGGAATGCCACCGCCATTGCTCGAGAGCTATTGTGCCAATAACTAGCTTAGCGCTGTCCTTCTACTGCTGCGAAACAAAATGGCGCAGTGAACGCAATGACGCAATGACGCAAGACGGCTGCATGTTGCCAAGGCTTTCCTCCCACATATCAGGCAGACCGCTCCGCCTAGATCCTTGATCTGCCGCTGCTCGCCCGATGGCACCGCCACAACGCAGACTCCCTGGCAAATGCTCGGGTCAGCAGGCATTTAAAACACCTAGAGCAGCAAGCCGTCGACACATGCTGAGGTAGAGACCACGATGCAGAACAAGTTGAAGGCTGCGGAGCCTCGCTGGTTCGCGCAAGCTGCGAGACATCATTGACCCGATGACTCAGGAGCTCTCTACTCTCGAGTCTCAGGTCCCAGCCCACAATCGTCGAAGGCCCGAGCTCGCCTGCGAAGAAGCCATTCCTGGCCCACCCATTCGCGAGTTCTCAAGGGGGCGGACACCTCTTTCGTCCACGCAAGAATTGCTCCAAGCGCGCCCGGCATGGCCCAATGATCTCAACCACAGAGAGAAGAATCTCCGGCCTTGGCTTGGCTTCATGCCTTCCGCCCTGCAGAACTTCATCCCACGACTCTGACGCTACTTCCTGGTCGGAGCTTCCCCTTAAAGCCTCTAAAGTTTAGGGTTTGGGGTTTAGGGTTTTGGGTTTTGGGTTTTGGGTTTGGGGTTTGGGGTTTAGGGTTTAGGGTTTAGGGTTTGGGGTTTAGGGTTTAGGGTTTAGGGTTGAGGGTTTAGGGTTTAGGGCTAACCACTCAACCCAATGCTGGGGCCCCCTTGCGCGGACGAGCCGAGCGCCAGCAAGGTCAGGTTTGCCACTGTCCCATTCCAAACCTGTGGCAAGAAAAACTTTGCCCAAGGTCAGGGGGTCTTCCCCTCAGTGGCACCTCCCAGCTCTACAAAAACCCCACCTGATAAGGTTTAGGGTTTGGGGGTTTGGGGGTTGAGGGTTTAGGGTTTAGGGTTAGGGTTTAGGGTTTAGGGTTTAGGGTTTAGGGTTTAGGGTTTAGGGTTTAGGGTTTAGGGTTTAGGGTTTAGGGTTTAGGGTTTAGGGTTTAGGGTTTAGGGTTTAGGGTTAGGTTTAGGGTTTAGGGTTTAGGGTTTAGGGTTTAGGGTTTAGGGTTTAGGGTTTAGGGTTTAGGGTTTAGGGTTTAGGGTTTAGGGTTTAGGGTTTAGGGTTTAGGGTTGAGGGTTGAGGGTTTAGGGTTTAGGGTTTAGGGTTTAGGGGTTTAGGGGTTAAAGGGTTGAGGGGTTTAAAGGGTTTAGGGAGGTGCGCAAGGCTTCTTGCAGCCAGGCGGCGCTAACTGTGATAACACGACCGGTCGACCTTCACAGCTTCGCGAGCTCAACACGCTGCGCAAGTCTTGCCGGGCAAGGGGCACCCTAAACCCTAAACCCTAAACCCCAAACCCCAAACCCCAAACCCTAAACCCTCAACCCTAAACCCTAAACCCTAAACCGAAACCCTAAACCCTAAACCCCATCTGTGGGCTTGCCTCTGTAGAACTCTTCGCTTGATGCTGGTAATGCCCTCGATGGCACTCACGAACTTGTCTGCTGCCTGGCCATGGCTCGAAACCCGAAATATGTTGCGACAAGCGCTTGAAGAGAAGGCAAAGCTATGGGCCACCTCCACCTGGCCTAAACCCTAAACCCTAAACCCTAAACCCTGTGCTCTGTGCTCTGTGCCACTGTATCTACGGGCTGCATGTCCAAGCGAGCGGGGCGAACGATGTTGACGCCAAGGAAAATGTAGAGCATTGCCATCATGTAGACGGTTGCCCGGACCCATCCTGAGCGCTGCCAAAGGATCCCTAAACCCTACACCCTAAACCCGAAACCCTAAACCCTAAACCCTAGACCCTAAACCCTAAACCCTAAACCCTAAGCCCTAAGCCCTAAGCCTAAATCTGCCCGAAGCCCCCGAAGAGAACTCCTGGGCCTCCTGCCGTCCCAGTCGGCCTCGCCATCTGTTAGTGGAAACACGAAGCCACGGCCTTGGCACCCAGGGGGGGTTTAGGGGTTTAGGGGTTTAGGGGTTTAGGGGTTTAGGGGTTTAGGGGTTTAGGGGTTTAGGGGTTTTGGGTTTAGGGTTTAGGGTTTAGGGTTTAGGGTTTAGCCACTTTGTCCGCAAAACATGCTGGCATGAGTCTCACTGCTTGAGGGTTTCCGAGATTCGGGGTGCCTTTTTGGGTTCTTATGATAAGGGAATCCTACCATTTGGGGGCTAAAATAGGGTCCCTCATTTTCGTACACCCCCACTTTACGAATATGGTATTGTCGCATTCCTATTGTTGGAGACCGAATGCGAAGAGTGTCGAAGCTTATCTTCTGTACTCGTTGTAACAACACCATTTACAACAGTAGCCGTCGTCGTGCCATTGTCATCGCCGCCGTCGCCGCCGCCGTCGTCGTCGTCGTAGCAACAGTGGCAGTAGTAGGGGAAGTAGAAAAGAACAGGTACAAAGCAAGAAGTAAGAAATAAACAATCAGAAGTCGTATTCAGAAATCATTGGTCCGTAGTATGAAGAAATGCAGTACATAACCAGTCACCAGTAACAAGTAGCAAGCAAGAAGTAGCCAGTAACCAGCAAGTAAGAAGTACAAAGGACTATCATCTGTAACTAGTAACTAGAAATCCGTAATAAACAGGCAATGCGAAGTCAGCAATAGGCAGCAAGTCATACGAAAAGAATTAAAGAACAGGTAATAAGTAGCAAGCAACAAATAGTTCGTACTGTGCAACAAGCAGTCTCATTTATAGAATTGCTACACGCTTGTTGTAAACTTGGTTTTTTGCATCGGATTTAGGGATTCAGGGCTGAGGGCGTCCATGGGTCGTTCTCTAAAGTTCTTATATATAGTATAAGAACCCCCAAAAAACATGCCAAAAAAACAGGGACTCGAATTCAGAGAACTACGGACACCTAGGGCTGCCACCACCAGGTTCACAAATTGCTGGCGCCATGCACGACTGTGGTGAAACGGTGGCCGCTGTAAGTTCAATCTTTTGCCTAGAGCGGTAGTGGTCTCGAACTGGCGGGACCTGAGCCCCAAGTGAACTTCCTGAATCGAGTTTGGGGTTGGGGGTTTGGGGTTTGGAGTTTAGGGTTTAGGGTTTAGGGTTTAGGGTTTAGGGCTTAGGGTGTCTGTCTATGAAGTGAGAAAGCATAGGGTTGCTCCGAGAGCTAGAGCCGCACGTCAAGCGCCCGGATGAGTATGGGACTGGAGTCAGGTTATAGGCCCCCAGGCAGTAAAAGTGGTGTGGGGTTTAGGGTTTAGGGTTTAGGGGCTCAACTGCTGAAAGGTGGAAGTATAGGGGACCCCTAATATAGACCCCCCCCAAATGGTAGGATCCCCTTCTTATAAGGACCTCAAAAAGGTACCCCTAAACCCAAAACCCGAAAACCCTAAACCCTAAACCCTAAACCCTAAGTAAACCCCCAACTGCCGAAAAAAGCTGCTGCCCATCCTATCCACCTCCGCCTCCACTGCCTCTCCCCCGCTCCTCCAGGCTGTGCCGAAGGTCGCTGACCTCTGTGACTTCGGGGTTTGGGGTTTAGGGTTTAGGGTTTAGGGTTCAGGGTTCAGCATCTCAGGTCCAAGCATTCACTAGTCAAGAAATTATTACTCCAGAAAAACACCCACCCGCCCGAAGAATCCCACAACATTAAGAAAATATTTCACTTATGGAACGACCTTGCCCAGCAAAAAAAATGACCTTGCCCAGTAAAAAATGACCTTGCCCAATAAAAAAATGACCTTGCCCAGTAATGACCTTGCCCAGTAAAAAAATGACCTTGCCCAATAAAATTACCTTGCCCAGTAAAAAAATGACCTTGCCCAGTAAAAAAATGACCTTGCCCAGTAAAAAAATGACCTTGCCCAGTAAAGAAATGACCTTGCCCAGTAAAAAAATGACCTTGCCCAATAAAAAAATGACCTTGCCCAGTAAAAAATGACCTTGCCCAGTAAAAAATGACCTTGCCCAATAAAAAAATGACCTTGCCCAGTAATGACCTTGCCCAGTAAAAAAATGGCCTTGCCCAGTAAAAAAATGACCTTGCCCAGTAAAAAAAAATGACCTTGCCCAGTAAAAAAATGACCTTGCCTAGTAAAAAGATGACCTTGCCCAGTAAAAAGATGACCTTGCCCAGTAACATTTTTACTGGGCAAGGTCATTTTTTTATTGGGCAAGGTCATTTTTTTACTGGGCAAGGTCGTTTTTTTGGCCGAAACGACCTTGCCCAGGAAAAAAATGACCTTGCCCAGTAAAAAAATGACCTTGCCCAGTAAAAAAATGACCCTTGCCCAGTAAAAAAATGACCTTGCCCAGTAACCCCTTAACATTTAAATGATATGAAAGAGAGGTTTAGGGTTTAGGGTTTAGGGGTACCTTACTGAGGTAAGTGCTGAGGCGCTTAGCTACTAGTGGCTTAAGAACCCCCAAAAAAAAACACTCTAAGGAATAATCCCTGTATTGCTCTTATAAGGAAGAATACTTTCTATTTTTTGACCCTAAACCCAACAAAATATTAATAATAATCCCTATATTGCCCTTATAAGGAAGACTATTTTCTTTTTTTTTGGCTAAGAACCCCACAAACAAATAATAATAATGATCCCTAACCAGGAGAATATCCCTATTTTTTTTTTTTTTGGGGGGGGGGTGTTCTTGGGCTCATGGTTATGAAGCAAAAATCCCTATGCTGCCCTTTTCAGGAAGAATACTTTTGATTTTGTTGGGGGGAGGTGCTTGGGCTCAGGGTCTCGCCTGCTGCGACAGCGTGCTGATCTCCTGCCTCCAGCCATCACGCCTGAGCTCTCTCTGGGTTTCGAGTTTCGGGTTTCGGGTTTAGGGTTTAGGGTTTAGGGCTTAGGGCTTAGGGCTTAGGGCTTAGGGCTTAGGGCTTAGGGCTTCTACGACAGGTCCGAAGTCATTGATTCCTTCTGGAAACTTAGTGGAGTCTGCGTTCTTGCATGTACTTTGCCATATGGGGGTTTTCCGAAGTTCGGGGTACCTTATTCGGGTCCTTATTATAAGGGAATCCTACTATTTGGGGGACTCTCTTAGGGGCCCCTTCTTGTCGTAAACCCCCACATCTACCAGCACCGAGCTGAGGACTTTTGCAGGTAAAAAAAGCGTCTTTTGGGATTCTACCCCCTTTTTACCAGCAGTCCTTGATAGGGATGATAGAAGGGCGGGGGGAACATCCCGAGGTATCTTACATACAACATGTGGACCCGGAAAGCCCCGCCACGCTTTCTTGGACCACCTTGCTTCTGAGCTCGCGGCTCGGCTTCCAGGTCATGCAGCGTTTGGTCCTGAAACCTGGGCATGGGGATTGCGGGTTAGGGGTTTAGGGGTTGAGGGGTTTAGGGGTTTAGGGGTTTAGGGGTTTAGGGGTTTAGGGGTTTAGGGGTTTAGGGGTTTAGGGGTTTAGGGGTTTAGGGGTGTAGGGGTGTAGGGGTTTGGGGGTTTGGGGGTTTGGGGGCTTTGGGGTTTAGGGGTTTAGGGTCCCCTTGTAAGGGTAACTCATAGATAAAGGACTCCCCCCAAAAAAATGAAGGGAACTCCAATTTGGAGAACAGTGGAGACATGAACGCGTGTCCGAAAAGCAGGCAGAGGCTGAGGAGTCGACTCTGCATCCGCCTGAAAGCTTTGCTCTCTCTCCTTGGCGACCTCATGCTGTTGCCATGGTTCTGATTCTTATGGTAGTTGTAGTATTCTGAAGATTCAGATTCTTATGACAGCCATGGTTCTGATTCTTATGGTAATTGTAGTATTCTTAAGATTCTTTTTCCTTATGACAGCGACGGTTCTGATTCTTGTGGGAATTGCAGTCTTCTTAAGACTCTTCTTCTTATGACCGCTATGCTATACTTGTCTTTTTTCATACTTGCTCTTATGCTAACCAATGTGTCGGTCGGCCACGCCCAACTGCGAGGCCTGAGCACCCAACACGGAGAATGGCGGCCATCTGAGCCAGGGCGGCATGAAGTGCCGGATAGCTTTGCCGGGGTCTGCCCTCCTCACCCAGTGGCGGTTTACGGCTTCAGTCTCCTCGATGACGTTTGGCTGAGTTGCCCTGTAAACCCTTTGAAATCTATTCATGAATAGGTTCATCAAAGACTATACCACAGCACAAACCAGATGGAGAGCTTTTGTCCTCGCCCCCAGCGGCGCGAAAGCGAAGTGCATGATCTGTCGTTTGCCGCAGAAACTTCTTGGAGCGCCTCAGAGCACAGAGGTTTCAGGCCAAGCTGCCCAAGGCCCCTCTCATTCTGAGTCCATGGCATAGGCATTGATCCTTCTCGCCTCATCTGAACATAACAGTCGTCTCCATAGGCATCCCCACAGCAACCCGTGCTCAAAAACATCTCGAGCTCACATGATTCCAGGTAGCGATGAGTCCACTTGCAAGACAGCCGGTGCTTCTTTGGCAGGTTCGAGCACCTTGCTTGGGGGTCCAGGGTGCTTATAAACCCCCAACTATAACTGCACTTATAAGCACCCTAAGCCCCCTAAGGTCATAAGTACAAATGGGGGTTGTAACTGTACTTATAAGCACCCTAAGCCCCCTAAGGTCATAAGTACAATTGCAATGGGGGTTATGAGTACCCATGAACCTCCAAGTGGGAGGCAGCCACGGGGTGAAGTGAGCCTCAGACTTGGGAACCTCGGAAAGTATCGTGTTGAGTGATGTGTACTATTGAATTGTGGTTAGGCCCTAAACCCTAAACCCTAAACCCCTAACCCTAAACCCTAAACCCGAAACCCTAAACCCTAAACCCTGAACCCTGCCTATGTGATGTTTAGTCAGTGATGCTTCGTGTATGCCTACAGCTGTCAAGCTCTGCCTGCAGCGAGGGAGCTGCGGCTGCTGCAGCGGATGCCTCTTCCTGCTGCTTCCTTGCAACTGGGGGTTGGCGGTTTAGGGTTCAGGGTCCAGGGTCCAGGGTCCAGGGTTCAGGGTTCAGGGTTTAGGGTTTAGGGTTTAGGGTTTAGGGTTTAGGGTTTAGGGTTTAGGGTTTAGGGTTTAGGGTTTAGGGTTTAGGTGTTGGGATCCTAATTATCAGGGGTCCTACTATTTGGGGGTCTAAATTAGGGATGCCCTACTATCGTAAACCCCCGATTGTCTTGAACGCGACGTGTAATGAGTCTGCGTCTGATCACCAGGACTTTCCCGCGCACAGCTTGATACTGAAAAAGCATAAGAACACGAGACTGCGCCCGCTACGTGGGTAAAAGCACCAGGAAGCCGTCTGGTAAGGGACCCTGCCGCACTGGACACAAGCAAAAAAATCATCGCTGAAGCACATTTGCGGCCGGTCCCGCCCCCCCCCCCCCCCCCCCCCCCCCCACGCCACCAATGGGGTTCAGGGTTTACGGTTTAAGGTTTAGGGCTTCGGGTTACAGCATGTTTTCCCCAGCCCTCGAGCTCTTCGTGGCACAAAAAACTTGCAGACACAAGTTCCGCAGGCGATCCAACTCCAACTCCTGCTGCTTGCGCAAGGCCTGTGCATTGGTTGAACACCGCATGCTTCGGCCATTCTTAAACTGGCTTCGAAATTTGACGTCTAAGAGAATCACTCTTGCCACGCTACTCAAACGCCACGAAAAACCCGGTAAGTGGCCTCCATCTGCTCTTGCTGCTGCTTCTGCAACTGCAGCTGCTGTTCTTGAAGCTGCCTTTCACGCATTGCGCTCCAGCATCCATCATGACACAAAAATCACGCCGAAGAGCCTCCAATCAAGGAACTACTGCAAAATGTACTACAAGAAGTGTCCGCCGAGCGTCTGCATCAGTTGCTGCTGCTTGTTCTGCTGATCCTCGTGTTGGCCACGCAACGATTCCAGCTCCTGTCCAGGAACTCGTTGCTAGCATCTGCCATCCCCCTGCTGTCGGGAGGGGGATTGTTGCAGCGACCCCACCCCAAAAAACAATAAAATAAATAAATAAATAAATAAATAAACACCACACTGCCAGCATCTCTGCATCACCTCCGATCGAAGCGTCATTGTCGCTTTGTCCCAATGGCCGTTCATGTTGCACGCAAAAACCTTTAAGCCTCAATTTTCAAGCCAACGGTTGCAGCCCTAAGCCCTGAAGAGCCCCAGCCTCCACAGGACACCCGACACCCACACGCTCCCCCCAGTTCACATCCCTTCCCCCCACCTTCCCTCCCCCTCCCCTGATTCAATTGAGATTCGGCTTTACAACGGACGAAGACTAAGAAGTGAGTGAGAGAGGGAGAGCCATTGCCGGGCAAGGCAATGTGCCTCCGCCCCCAGGGGAGGTAAAAGCGCAAACGGGGCGCCGGGCTCCGAAAGCGTCATGGCCCCTGGCAAAAGCAACCCTAAACCCTGGACCCTAAACCCTAAACCCTAAAAGCCAGCAAGGGTTGGTCTTGGCAAGACAGCCCACTTCACAGACCCAAAGCGGTTCCCCACATGCTCCTCATGCAGGAAATTACTAAGCAGGGGATGCGGGCGTGAAGCAGAGACTCTCACGTAACTGCCAGAAGAAAAGGGGCCACCACCAACCTCGGCCACAACAAAAGCCGTCCGGTACCCAGAAACAGGGCACAGCCCACAACAAAGAGGGGGTACAACGGACGAAAATGGAAATTAAACCCATAGATCGGCTTGTGGATACGCAATGGCCGGCTGGGCGTTGATGCTAAGAAATCCCCCTCCCCCCCGGCCGTTGTGCCATCTCCCACTCCAGATGGTGGCAAATAGAACAAGATTGAGGTGAGGGGAGGTCTTCTCTTCTACAGAAACCCTAAACCCTAAACCCTAAACCCTAAACCCTAAACCCTAAACCCTAAACCCTAAACCCTAAACCCTAAACCCGCAGTATCCAAGAGGGCTGGGGCGACTGGAAACCGCCATCAGTTGCGGGTGAAGGCTACGGGGCCCTTGGTGTCTGAGTGCTTTCAGGGCACCAAAACCTGCCCTGGTTTAGGTTTTCGGGTGAGGGTTTAGGGTTTGGGGTTGGGTTTAGGGTTTAGGGCTTAGGGTTTAGGACTGCTCCACACTCAACATCAGGTTAAAGCTACCAGCGGCGCCTTCAACCGGATCTGCTGAGTTTGACGAGTAGAGGTTCAAGCATCCATTTCAAGAAGTAAACGAAGTGTGCACATGAACGCGCTTCCTTAAGCCCAATCCCATCCAGTCTCCTCTGCAATTCCCCCCCTCCACCCCTTCCCCTCCCCACCCAGCCTTCAAGCGCTCCTGCTGGTGTTCTCGCCTGGGCACAACATGTAGTCTTGGTCTTCCTCAACAAGTTTAGGGTTTTGGGTTTGGGGTTTGGGGTTCCTTTGCGATACCCCCTCAAACCCCTAAACCGTCAAAACCCACACCCTTGGACAACCTGACTGTGCATGCCACGCTGCTGCAGCGTCTCCGCCTTCAGCTTTTCCTCCATCAGCTGCTTCATCTCCTTACTTCGGAGCTTGGGTTTAGGAAGGGTTCAGGGTTCAGGGTTCAGGGTTCAAGGTTTAGGGTTTAGGGTTTAGGGTTTAGGGTTCAGGGTTCAGGGTTTAGGGTTTAGGGCTTAGGGTTTAGGGTTTAGGGTTTAGGGTTTAGGGCTTAGGGTTTAGGGTTTAGGGCTTCGGGGCTTCGGGGCTCAGAGCCTTCGGGGCTCAGGGGCTTCGGCGCTTAGCCTTTGGCGATCTTCGACCTTCCGACGACAGAGCCGCAACCGTGAGCTCAAAACCCTGCAGCCTAAACCCTAAACCCTAAACCCTGAACCCTGCAGCCTAAACCCTGAACCCTAACCCTAAACCCTAAACCCTAACCCCCCCCTAACCCTAAACCCCAAATCCTAAACCGGCTTGGCGGTGTTTAGGGTTTTTGTTCTGGAAGCTGGGAGGGCACCCGGACAAGTTGAAAACAAAAAACACATGTCGAAAGCAAGAGAGATTGCGCAGCAAAAGCTGGACGGTTCCTTTCACGATATTCTTGCTTACGAAATGTTGACTACGACTCGGTAGAGATGGAGAACCAGGAGCTGGCTGTCGACCTTTCCACCATGCCCATGCAACTGGTTGAGATGCTCACGTCTGTGGGCTACATAAGGAGCCTCTATTGGCTTCATGTCATCATACAGAAACACCCCAAGAATAGGGATCCGGATGTCAGAACAACCCCCACCCAAGTACCTAAACCCAAAGCCCCCAGCTGCTGCAGGTCCGGTCGGCGGATTTCGTGCCCTCCAAGTGTTGGGCGCCGGCCATCTTCTCCTGTAACCTGAGACGGCGCGACTCCACTGAAAGGTTGTTTCGGGGGTTGGGGATTTCGGGCTTAGGGGGGTCAAGGGCTCAGGGCGGGGTTGCGGGCTTCAGGGTTCACGGCTTCACGTTTCAGGGCTTCAGTTTTGGGACTGGTTTGGGGTTTTGGGGTTGGCCCACACGGCTCAACTCTCGAAAACAAACTGGAACACGAAGCAGCCTGCTCCACTAAAGCACTGGGCTTCTCCTCCATTGGGCTTAGGGAAGTTTAAATTTCCCGCCGTCACTAAGGGAAGCAATCCATTGCTTTGCGAGCGAAGCAGTACATCTGCACTTAAGCCGCTTACTTCATAGGTGGCTTCGCAAAAAAAAACATAGACGCCCCCCAATTTTGATCCCCAAATACTAGGATCCCCCTTTAACAAGGACTCCAAGAAGGTACCCCCCGAATCTCGGAAGCCCCCCAATTGCAGTTGGAGAGCTTGTGCTCCAGGAGCCGTTCCAGAATTTGGCCGCCGAAGACGTTCTCCGCGCCCACGGTGCCCTCATCGCCTCCGGCAGACTTGACGATGATGCGGCAGACCTTTGGCGTGTCGATTCTGAGGGTTTAGGGTTCTAGGGCTCTTGCAGTTTAGGTTTATAGCGTTTAGAGGGTTTGGAGGGTTTAGAGGGCTTAGAGGGTTTAGAGGGTTTAGAGGGTTTAGAGGGCTTAGGGGGCTGAGAGTTTAGAGGGTTTAGAGGGTTTTGAGGGTTTTGAGGGTTTAAGGGTCACAATCCCTCAAAAGCGCTGCGGAGGCAGCGTTGGGAAGTGCCAGCAACGAGCAAGTTTGGCCTCGCAATCTCTCGTTGACTTCGTTTCTGGGCCACTAGAATTGTTCTAGGGTTTAGGGTTTAGGGTTTAGGGTCTAGGGTTTAGGGTTTAGGGTCACTAGACTTGTTCTACGAAGTGAAGGCCCTCGAAAGCTTCAGGCCTCCTCGTCCGGGGTGGAAGCGCCCAGCGCCGGTGCTAAGTCGGCGTACTTCTTGCGGAAAGCCTTCCTGGGCAGCTCGAAGGCAAAACCGTTCGGTTGCTCTTGGTTTGAGAAGAGTCAGCAGTGCAGAAGATTGCCCTCCTGAGGTAAGATGTCGCAGAATACTAATGCTTCCTCGGATCAGGGACCAGAGAAAGCAGTAGTTCTTGTCCGTCATCTGAACCATGTCAGCCAAGCGGAGCTGCTGAGCTTGACGAAGCATCACGTCTCTGTTCCTCACGAGGAAGAGCGGTGGCAAAAATTCTGCAGCTGGGGCCACCAGCAGACACGAACACGTAACGCTGCTTAAATGTGAGCATTTTGGCATCTTCTTGCCGAGAAGCACGCGGTCAGCATGCCCGCCATCATTGGGCCGGAGGCAGCAAACCAGCCAGGTGGTGAAAGCTTGGTGCGGCTCGAGGTGGCCCAGAACCGTCTCAACGGCCTCCGAGGCATTTAGGAAGACACCACCCTAAACCCCAAGCCCTAAGCCCTAAGCCTCATAAGCCCTAAACCCTAAACCCTCAACCCTAAACCCTAAACCCTAAACCACACCCCACTCATATTGCAGGGATCGGGGTCGCGTGCCGTGTTTCCAGCAGTGGGCCTCTGCAGCTTCGGCCACTCGCGAGCTCTGAGGAGGCGGACCCGCGATGTCTCGGAGGTACTTACCTCACACGCAGCTCTTTTTTACTTGCTTCGGAACCTCCCCAAAATAAATTAATAGTAATTCTCCTTATAAGGTTGCTTAGGAACCCCTCCAAAAATAAATGACAATCTCCTGCTTATAAGGACAAAATAGGGATTTGATTTTCATGTTGTATTTTGGGGGGGGGGGGCTCTTAAGCAAATAGTGGAGCTCTTGCAGCTGCCACCTGCCGGGAACGCCATTGCCCCACACGCAAAAAAAAAGGAGCTCTTGCACGCTTCCCTGCGGCCGAGGCGCAGTCGGACTCTGCCAGGACTTGGAGGACGTCCCCCAGCTCCACCTTGTCCATGGCAGCCCCGGACAGCAAGCCTTGCAAAGTGTTCATTCAAAGACCAGCACCCAAAAATATGAAACATGATCCTCACACCACCCTGCGGCTTGCAACAGGGCAGTGTGAGTGGCAGTGTGAACTGAGTTTCGCTGTGCTTTGCTGGACTTCCGGGCCGAGGCGCCGCTTAGTTCATGCCGGACAGGCCCGCAAGCACCACCTGAGACCAACAGGGATCGACGTGGCCTGGCCTTGCCCTACTTGCATGCAAGGCTCATGGGACTCACTGACTGCTGACAGTCGTTCTCATCGCACAAGCTGCGCTTACATAGGATGCCCCCCCCACTTGCACAAATTTGACTAGAACCATAACCCAAATCAAGTAAGTCCCATGAACCATCAAGTACTTGGAGATACATGGTGCTTACTAACCAACTATTCCTGGTCCTTAAACCCTAAACCTCCAAATAGGAGGATCATACCAGGCTAGCCGCTGATCGAGGCAACCTCCCCGTCGAAAGCGAAGCTGCCCGAAGCATCCTGGGCCTCTGCGGGGTCCCCCAAAAAAGAAGACCGGCGTTTGTTGTTTGAAGCTGGCCATTCCCGCTCACACGAATTCCCTAAACCCTAAACCCTCAACCCTCAACCCTAAACCCTAAACCCTAATACCTAATCCTCCTGCTGGGAGCTCCCCCACCTGTGCCCAGCTCCGGAGCTTTGGCGGCTCGCTCAGCAGCCCCAGGCACTTTCGGCACAGGGCCTCTGCTGCTTGAGCAGCTGCCTGGCGCGCAAGAAAGCGTAGAGAGAGGACTTCGTAGGGTTTCAAGAGGATCGTGGAAGCAGCGACTCTCACCCGACTCTGCAGCCCCCCCCCCGGTTTAGCTTGGCTTTTCGTGTGCCTGTGGCTCTGACTCATCCCGCAGCTCGTCTCCTGGATGCAATGACTTCCAGCATGCCCCCAGCGTCAATCTCTGGCCACAGAGGACGTCAATCAAGTCAGTCCCAAACTCTGCTGAGCTCCGGGCCCATCTCCGGGCCGCGGGCGGTGCGCAACATGCGCGTGAAGCGGGCCTGGGACGTCCGGTATCACGTGCTGCGTGTCCGTGCCATGCGCAGCACATGCCGGGCCTCGTTCAGCAACTGGGCCAGAAGGCCATGGATGCCAGGGGCATCCGTGCCAGACGGCAGCTCGACGATTTTGATGCGCCGGGTAATGGCCTCTCCAGGCACGAGCGCACCCCCCCCCTTCGCGGGCTTGAACCACGCTCGCGTCTGAACGACGCAATCCCTAAAAAACCAAAACCCCTAATCACGCAAATCCCTAAAGCCTAAAGAGTTCTAGTAATGAGTCTATAGTTAAATCTCTTGAATCCAGCTTGTCTTCAGCCTAGAATCCTAAACCCTAAACCCTAAACCCTCAGTCCTAAACCCTAAAACCCCAAACCCTAAAACCCTAAACCCTAAGCCCTAAGCCCGACAGCCTTGGCTTCCGCTGGCAGGTGGTCGTTGCTTTGTCGAAGGACCAGGTCCAGGAGCCGGCAGTAGACCTCCACCACGGCCTGGCTTTCGGGTCCAGGGCTTAGGGCTTGGGGTTTAGGGTTTAGGGTTTAGGGCTTAGGGTGTAGGGTTTTAGGGTTTAGGGTTTGGGGTTTTAGGGTTTAGGGTTTAGGGCTTAGGGTTTTAGGGTTCAGGGTTTAGGGTTGAGGGTTTAAGGGGATCTGGGTTGCAGAGGGGTTGAGTAAAGGCTCTCTCTTCACGGCTGCTCCGAGTCTGGGGGTTGAGGGGCTTGGGGGTTGAGGGTTTTGGGGTTGAGGATCTTGGGGGGGGGTTAGGATTTGGGGCTGAGAGTTTGGGGGGTTTAGAATTTGGGGTTTAGGGTTTGCGCAGGAGACCTGCGCGGCAAAAGCGCAAGTTCTGGAGTGTTCCTAAACCGTATTCTTCGTGATTTAAGGGAAACCGGCCATCTTTACAGAGCCTGAGGTTGTGGGGTAGTGCCTTAGTCCCAATGCTGAGTGGTGGCTGAGGCGCTACATGGCAAGTGCCCTGTATGTGCGATGTTTAGGGTTTAGGGTTCCGGGTTCAGGGTTCAGGGTTTAGGGTTTAGGGTTTAGGGTTTAGGGTTTAGGGTTTAGGGTTTAGGGCCCTTCATAAGCTTGTCCGGGCAACTCGGCTGCTTAGGGGGCTTTAGGGTTTCTTTTGCCACCCGCCAAGCAGACCAGCGGTTTGTTCAGCAGGTTGGGGTCGCGTTGGACAACGCGAAACACCAAACCCCAACTTTGCAAGCCCAAGCGCTTGGAAGTGAAAAACAATCCCTACATTACCCTTTTTAGGAAGAGTAGAATCCCTACATTACCCTTATAAGGAAGAATATTTTTTTGGGGGGAGCTCAGGGTTTAACTAGGGGTTTAGGGTATAGGGTTTGGGGTTTAGGGTTTGGGGTTTTGGGGTTTAGGGTTTAGGGTTTAGGGTTTGGGGTTTAGGGTTTAGGGTTTAGGGTTCAGGGTTTGGGGTTTAGGGTTAGCAATTGGTAGTGCAGCCAAAGTGCAGCGTCTACACGCAGGCCCGCATCGGCAGGCGCGGCCGAGCCTTTGGGGAGCACGGCAGCTTGGGCTTCAGAATTCAGGGGTGAGAGGGTAGGTTTTAGGGTTTAGGGCTTAGGGCTTAGGGTTTAGGGTTTAGGGTTTAGGGCTTAGGGTTTAGGGTTTAGGGTTTAGGGAGCAGGGTACAGGGGTTTAGGGCTTCGGTTCGTCCGGTTCAGATTTGAAGCGCAGGAACCTAATGAAGCAGAGCCAGGGGACCAGCAACAAAGGCTGCCAGGAGCGATCCCGCATTCACGCCCAGTGCCTTTGCGGCTGCGTCCAGGGCTCCTGGCTGCGGGAGATCCACCTAAACAAACCCTAAACCCCTAAACCCTACATTCCAAACATCCCTATAAAGCCTTGGAAGCCCCTTAAGCACCCTCTAGAATCCCTGCAACCCCTAAAACCCCTCAAAAGCCAATCCCTGAAAACCCGATAAACCCTAAAAACCTGTAATCCCTCAAAAACCCTTTTGAAACCGTATAAAGACCCATTAAACAGTCCCAAAAGGACCCTGATTCAGGGTATAAAAAAAGCGATTTAGGTTTAGGGTTTAGGGTTGAGGGTTGAGGGTTGAGGGTTGAGGGTTTAGGGTTTAGGGTTTTGGGTTTAGGGTTTAGGGTTTAGGGTTTAGGGTTTAGGGTTTAGGGTTTAGGGTTTAGGGTTTAGGGTTTAGGGTTTAGGGTTTAGGGTTTAGGGTTTAGGGCCCCCAAGGAAGGGACCTTCCGGTTCGCACCGCAAGGATCCCTGGGCCCCGTCGAAGCGCAGCTCCCCGAGGAGGATCAGGCCTGTGATCTGAATACGCTTTAAAAAGTCTAGGGTTTGGGGTTTGGAGTTTGGGGTTTGGGGTTTAGGGTTTAGGGTTTAGGGGGTAGGGTTTAGGGTTTGGGGTATGGGGTTTGGGGTTCAGGGTGTATGGGGGGGTGGGGGGGGGGGGGGGGCTTTTTTCGTGCCCTCTGAACACGGGGACTCAGAGCAATCTCGGCTTGGGGGCCTCATAGTTCAGGTGAGCGATGGTCTGATGTTGGACCCTTTTGGCATCCTTTGTACCACAAGCTTCAATAGCTTCAATAGCTTCACTTCCAGCCCTACAAGGAACCTACCAAGAAACCCCAGAACAGCCCGGGCTAAGGCTGTCGGATGCGGCCGCGAAGCCACAAAGGATTCGCACCACGGCGGCATCGTCAATCCTCCGCTCGGGGCGTGCCGCTGCCGTGAAAAAAACACCAGCAAACCCCCGATCTCCGCAAACAAAACCCCCAAGAAGTCTATGAAGTTCTAAGCCACCCGTTTGGGCAAGGCTCGCGAAAGAGCTCAGGGCTTCACGCCAGTTTGTTCCTGCAGCGCCTTCCTCGTCGTACTCCTCAATCTCGATCTGCACAGGGGGAAGAATGCATTGATGAAGCCCTGGGCGCCCCTGTACCCTCGGAAGCCCAAGCCCCCAGACTCGACCCACAGAAGCTCTGCGCCTCGTCTCCAAGGAGCCGGAACTCCACAGCAGCTCCCAACCACTCTGTGGCCCTTTCATCCTGCAAAAGGGGGCAGGAACTCTCTTTGGGATCAGGGTCGAAGTTTTCTTCGGCCCATGAGTTTATTGAGCACCTACCGTAAGGGCTGGTATCTCACTGATATCCGTGTTCCCCCAACATGAACTGCCAGACGCATCGCCTTGGCTGCCAGGTACAGGGCATCGAAGCTCTTGAAGCCCGCGCCAGCCCCGCGCGCCAGACGACTGGTCTCAAGCATCCTCACCTCAACCAGGAAGGTTTAGGGTTTAGGGTTTGGGGTTTAGGGTTTAGGGTTTAGGGTTTTGGGGTTTAGGGGTTGTCAAGCACAGACTGGGGGGGAGGCTGCTTTAAAATGAGGATCCCCCTTTTCTCGCGAACTTTCACTCATCCCACACCCCTTGTCGAGGGGGGGAGGGGGGGAGGGGGCTATTTTTCGAAAAGCCCCCCCAAAACCCCCCCACAAGGATGCTTCTACCCGCTTCTCGTTCCTGACCAGCCGCGCTCGCAAGGGTGCGACACGTGAAGCCATCTGCCGCCAGGCCCAGCTCAACCTGCGTTGGCTCGGGGGCTTTTGGGGCTTTGGGGCTTCGGGCCTTTGGGGCTTAAGGAAACACCCCAAACCCTAAACCCTAAGCCCTAGGCCCTGAACCCTCAACCCTAAACCCTAAGCCCTAAACCCTAAGCTCTAAAGCCCTGAGCCCTAAACCCTAAACCCCAAACCCTAAACCCTAAACCCTAAATCCTAAACCCTAAACCCTGGCCTCCAGGATGGCGCGGGTCGACTGCCAGACCTGGCGGCCGCAACGCCGCTGGGCCGAGATGAAGGGGCCCAGGATGGTCAGCATCTGCTTGAACTCCTCGTTGCCTCTCTTGGTTTGTTAGGGTTTAGGGTTTAGGGTTTAGGGTTTAGGGTTTAGGGTTTAGGGTTTAGGGTTTTAGGGTTTTAGGGTTTAGGGGTCAGGGGTCAGGGTTTAGGGTTTAGGGTTTAGGGTTTAGGGTTTTAGGGTTCAGGGTTCAGGGTTCAGGGGTCAGGGTTTAGGGTTTAGGGTTTAGGGTTTAGGGTTTAGGGTTCAGGGTTCAGGGTTTAGGGTTTAGGGTTTAGGGGTTAGGGTTTAGGGTTTAGGGGTTTAGGGTCGCGTTGCCTCTCTCTTTTTGTTAAGGGTTTTTATAGGGCTGACCTTTAAAAGGCAGGGCCTCTCCTTTTTTTAAGGGTGTTTATAGGGCCTAACTTGAAAAAGTAGGGCCTCGCTCCTCTTTTTTGTTAAGGGCTTTTGTAGGGCTTAGAGGGCCTCTCTCTTTTCTTTGTTGAGGGTTTTATAGGGCTGACCTTAAACAGGTAGGGCCTCTCTCTCTTTTTTGTTAAGGGTTTTTATAGGACTTACCTTCAAAAGGTCTCTTTTGTTTTTGTTAGCTTGGGAGGCTTGGGAGGCTTGGGAGGCTTGGGAGGCTTGGGAGGCTTGGGAGGCTTGGGAGGCTTGGGAGGCTTCGGTAGGGCTTGGGCGTTTTTTGAGGGGGGTTGGTTTGGGGTGCTTCGGGGGCTCTGGGGGCTCTGGAGGCTTTGTGTCTTTAGGTTTCGGGTTTCGGGTGCACTGCAGTGTGCGGCAAGTCGCCATCCCCAGCGGCTTGATCGAAGAAGCCTTACATCACACAACGCGCCATGGCCCAAGAAAGCATGCACAGGGTGTCGCGATCTTAAACCTACAACTTATGACTGTATCATGACAATGGTAGGCTGATTTTCTGTACTACTAGTGCACAAGGTCCCTGCCGGCAAGACGCTCAGCAAGTGCTCGCGAGCTGTAGATTTTCCAGTGCACTCGTCTCCCAGCAGCAGGAGGACTTGATGCTCCTGTCTGAAAATAGAAACTTAGGGGGGGGGGGGGGGGGGGGGGGGCTTTCGAGAATAGGGGTACCCTTTTGGGGGGTCCCCTTTAAGGGGATTCTATGCTATTTAGGGGTATTAAAAGGGGCACCCCTATTTGGGAACTACCCATTAAAACAGAAATATATATATATATATCATAAAGAAAACAACTAATCAGATGGACTCAAGGATTCCCCACGTCTTTTCGTGTAGAAGGCAACAGATTATTCAGAAACTGTAAAAAAGAAAGTGTATTAGTAATATAGTAAGTTTGTCAGATTATATACAATACACGATGATGTACACTAGCCGATTCTCGAAGCCCCCCCTCCCTCCCAAACACCACCGAGTGGGGACCGAAGAATTATTCAATAGCAGCGAGACGGAATAGCATCCTAGGATAGCTCACTCCTTCGTGCCCATTCAGGAAGCGACTCTTCTAGCACTCGCCCTCGTAGTGTCGTGTGGGAAAGAAAGCCTCTAGCATTTCGAGGTACGAGGGGAAAGAAAAACACCTTCGATGTTTTTCTCCAAACAACGAGAAGTATGGCTAGTTTACGCTGTCGTAATTCGCTTCGCGACTCACGAGTGAAAAAATGTGCGACATCTAGGCGCCTTCTTGTCCATGCTCCTTTTGTAAGCGCTTGCAGACGCGTTGAAGATATGTGGCGGTAGAGCAGGATCCTCGAGGGCAGGTTCTTTTGGTTTGGGGTTGAGGGCTTAGTGTTTAGGGCCTAGGGCCCGGGGTTAGGGTTTAGGAGCCATATCCGCCGACCCCCTTTGTCGGCGTCAAGAAGCTGGACTCGTGCCTTTCCCGCTGGACCCGCTAGTGCCCTTCCCCATGCACCCGTTCCCTCCCCCCGCCCCCTACCCCGCCCTACCCTCTTCCCTACCCCCGTCCCCTACCCCGCCTGCCTAGCCGGCCCCCCCACAGGAGAAGGACCAAAAACAACCGAATTTGTTGTTTTAGAAGGGTTGCTGCGCCCCCCCACCTTCCCTGCCCCCTTCCCAACCCCCGCCCCCTACCCCGCCTGCCTAGCCGGCCCCCCCCACAGGAGAAGGACCAAAAACCGAATTTGTTGGTTTGGAAGCAGGTGGAACCACGCGTTTTGTGTTGGCTGCACCCTACCCTCCCCCGTACCCCCCCCCCCCCCCCCGAACCCCCCCCCCCCCCCCCCCCCCCACCCCGGTATAACAACAACCAAGAGAATTGACGACAACTATCTAAACCTTGACGATTTTGATTAGGCAAATAATATTAAAACATTAATATTATTTGTTATTGGTCATTTAAAAGCCCCCGAGCGCCAGCATTCTTGTGGTCGAATGCAGCTATAAGCCCAGCCATTTCCTACTCCTGACTTCTCAAACTTCAAGCTGTGTGTGTTTTGTGATTTGTTTTGTGTATGGTTTTGTCCAATACTTCTTGCTTGTTTCTGGGGATTTACACCACGAAGCTTCAGGTTTAGGTTGGGTTATAGTTGTAGGAAGAATCCACCAACCACCCAAAAGGCTTGTAGAGGCAGACGATGATCGACTTGAAGGACTCGGTAATGAAGGTCAAGAGATTGGCATCCTCGGGGGGTAAAGCTAGGAGGTTTGCGTGCCAGCGTCAGATACAGCTTCCGACGTCGTTTCCCTAGTGCGGCTTTGCACTGTAGCAGTTCTCCTTAAAGGCTTGTTTCAACGGATATGGCCCCGCATCTCAAGCAATGGAATCCACCCAGGCGGCCACGGTGCCCCTGAACTCTTCCATGACAAAATTTCCGTGCTTAGGTTTTTGGTGCTCCTAATGGGGTCTTGCATTAACTGCTTATACCTAGGGCTTCAGAGGAGGAACTCAGCATATACCGAGGCTGAAGATAGAACAGTCCTGGTCAGAGACACTGTAGAGATGTACGCGTCGAGACATCATGAAGACCTGCCACGGACCGGACGCATGTCAGAATCAGATGCCGAAGATGCGTCGAAAGTGAAAAAACGGTGCAGATAGCATGCATACACTGCGCATGTTTGCGGACTGAGCTCACTGTGAATTTTGCAGAAAGGACGGCTTGGCCAATCCACTGACATGCAAAGAGGGTGATGCCTTCGGCCGTCACTGCTATTATCCGCTTGGAAGCTTGATCTTTGGCATGTGCTGCGGCCTGTCCCTTCCTTACCGTATCTTACCATATGACTGCCCTATCTATGAAATTGTTGCCGAACAGATCTGATGCCCATCACTGGAATAGTGGACATACGCTGAAAAGACTCGGATGCGATTGCGCATATGTCAATCGTGACACCCTACTTGGTCAGAGCTGTTCATCCGCCGCCCGCAAAGCCCAAAGCAAAGGTGTTCACAAGTAGCTCCTCCACGTCGCGACGGTTCCACTGCTGCGCTTGAGCAATTGCCTCCTGCACAGAATGTTGCCCTGGATCCACATTGGATTCCCACAAGGCTTGAACTACAGCTGTTGCGCCATATCCAGCTGCAATCTTAAGCGCAAGTGACATCACAGTCCGCGGAATCCTTACAGCACGTTGGTCCATGGCCCGACATAACTGCAGGACAATTCTCCATTTTCTTCCACGTACTTGATCTTCGAACGCTGTTACAAGAGCTTCATCCGTGCATTCTCTCAGCGTGCGATCACCAACTTCTTGGAGATCCTGCAAACCTCTCATCAATTGAGCATCACCCCCTGCAGCCTCAACCATGTGCTCTGCGCGGAGGAGAGCTTTGAGTCCATCAGCATCAAATATCCTTACAGCACGTCGGTTCATGGCCTGACATAACTGCAGGGCAAGGATGCATTTTCTTCGATGTACTTGATCTTTGAACGCTGTTACAAGATCTGCATCCGTGCATTCTCTCAGCGTGTGATCAACAAGAAGTTGGAGATCCTGCAAACCTCTCATCAATTGAGCATCACCCCCTGCAGCCTCAACCGTCATGTTCACTCCGCGGAGGAGAGCTTTGAGTCCATCAGCATCCACTATCCTCTTGCCGGCCGCGCGCCAGTCGGCATCAGCAGCCACTATCCCCATGCCGGCCGCACGCCAGTCGGGACGCGACTTCAGCAAGTCTTGGACGTCTGCTCGTAGTGCGCATTCAAGGTAGAGCTGCCGTTCAAGGTCATCAAGGTATTCATCCGAACACTTGGTCTGCTCCAACATGATGAGGCAGTACTTCCGGTCCTGCCACAGCTCTGGGTGGGCACGAGCGGCGAGCAAGGTCACCACAATTGTGTTTATCGGGTCCATCTCCTGCGGCTCCGTCTTGCTTCCGATCAGCCACCGCAAAGGTGTCGTGCCTGATGCATACGGATGGGGATGGGTCCGAACACACTCTGCATTCACGTCTGCGCGCCATTTCAGCAAGAGCTCAATGATCGGCAGTGTCCTTGAGGCCAATGCATTGTGTAGAGGCGGTAATCGTTTGTCTCCAGGACCAAACCGCGAAGGTGCCAAATTTGGATCACTTGAAAGCTGCAGCAATGCCTCCACCTCTGAGTAGTTCGTGCGTCGCACAGCATCCCACAAATCATCTGGTGTTGGTGTTGTTGGGAGGGAATGCTGCCATTGAATCGTCAAACACATCTCTTCGCCCTTAGGCAAATGTAACAGCTTCTCTTCATCTTTCAGTGGACGTTTGCCGCAAACCAAGGTTTGACGTCTAGGCGGGCACTCGACATAGCCGCTCAGTTCCTTCTTCAGATCCCCAACGGTTCTACGGTCCTCAATTTCCAGCTCAAAACTTCTGATTTCGCGACCGGAAAGACAGTGCTGCACCATGAGTTTGCGACCGGACATGGGCTGCATGGACAGTGTGTCTGCCTGCATGGTCTCCTGGCAGAAAAGGTTGTTCCTTGACGGACGCGGCTACAGTTCGACTAATGGTCGTCAATCAAGGCATGAGGACGCTGCCTTGTAGTACAACCGCAAACCCAGTCTAGGACACACTGTGCAATACTGTGGAACCTGACAACGACAGACAGGAAGTCACCGCAGACATGTCATCTGCATAACGCGCAAGAGCGAAGTGCTGCACAAACATGCCAGGCACACTGCTCAGCAGCTCGAAGAGCAGGTCGTAAAGGTCGTGCAACAAAGGGCGTTCGGGGGGCTGATGGTTCAACCAAGAAATCCCACTATGTCTGCAGGCGGGAAGTCGCTTGGCAGCGCTCCCGGCCGTGCTGCATGACACTGTAGATCTTGTAGAAGAGGCTGAGTTTTGCCAAGCTGAATGGCTGGCAGTATATTGCCCAAACTGGGCAAGGCCTATCCTGACTCCTACGCCCCCCCCACCCCCCCACCCGCCCTGTTTAGCGGGCCCCCCAGAAAAAGAAACAACCGAACTTGTTTGTTGGCCTTTTTCGCCCCCCCCTACCCACCCCTCCCTGCCCCCTTCCCTACCCCCTTCCCTACCCCGCCTGCCTAGCCGGCCCCCCCACAGGAGAAGGACCAAAAACAACCGCATTTGTTGTTTTGATGAAACCACGCGTTTTGTGTTGGCTGCACCCTACCCCCCCCCCCCCCCTACCCCCCCCCCAACCCATGAAGAGACCCCTGGCAGAAGGAATGGCCAAGGCTATCAATCATACTTCATCCGCAGCGCTTACCTCGGGGGTCGGCGGCAGCGGCGTCAGCCTTTAATTATGATGACCAAAGAAGACGCAAGGATAGAGAGAGCGAGAGAGGGAGAGAGAGAGAGAGGGAGGGAGAGAGAGGGCTCAGGCGGTGGCCAACGCAGAGTACTTCTCGACATAAGCATCGCCGAAAATCTTCAACGTTCTGAAAGGGTTGATGCACAACGTCACCAGATTGATGTTGGAGTACCTGTCCATGTTCAAGGAGCAAGCACACAAGTGATGAGACAGCTATAGGACCCATTACATCATATCATACATCTGATTCATGATTTTTTATGCATTAGTATGCATTATTCTACACTGTTATGTATTGTTTTTCTCAGGTTTTTTTGTATATTTCGTACATACTCTTCTACATCCCTCCACTGTCTGACTGCAAACGAGGCGGCGGGTTCGTACTGCAGAACTGATTCCGAATGGCATCCTGAGCTTGCAACCAGCAGCACACGCTCGCCATGCCTACATCGAGCACCACGACAGGCACCTTCACACAAAAGGCGCTCCTTAACAAAAGAAGACGAAGGAGAACACTGTGTGTAGCAAAACCCTAGACCCTAAACCCCAAACCCTAAACCCTAAACCCTGAACCCGCAAAAACAAAAAACATGGTTGGCAAACTGTCAGGCGCCCAGCGTCCTCGACCCTTTCAGCACCGAGCCCATCCTTCTCCAGCGACGCGTAGTTTTGGGTTGCGGGCCCGGGGCGAGGGAGTACCAAACGCTCGTCTTCCGGTGTCACCACAAACTCCTGGTTGGAGGATGCTACAGTAGGGGCCTTTCATGAGTGCAGAATCCGTAGTTAGGTTCTAAACCCTAACCCCTAAACCCTAAACCCTAAACCCTAAACCCTAAACCCCGCCCATGGCTTCAGCACAACTTCATGGAAGGTTTGGAGGGACTGTGCAGATTTGCCCTGCGAAGCGCGCAAGCGGCCTTCTTGCCAAGCCGAAGTGTAGCACCTCCGGCAGGCGTCCTGCGCAACTGGGTTTAGGGTTTAGGGTTTAGGGTTTAGGGTTTAGGGTTTAGGGTTTAGGGTTTAGGGTTTAGGGTTTAGGGTTTTAGGATTTTGGGGGAAGGGAGTCGTGGAAATTCTGACGCCGTGGGTGAGAGTGCACTGAGATTGACATGCCGCCCGGCCGTCCTGCTGAGCTTCTGGCAGAGGACCCATTCGGAATCCTCCACCGGAAACCACACGAATTCTTTTCGAGCCTCCATGGAGGGTCGGCCTCACATCCTGGCATGGATCTGAGCAGCATAATATGATGGTTTCCGATATTAGGGGTACCTTCTGGGGGTCCCTGTTCCCTATCCCCATCCTACTATGTGGGGGGGAGGGGGGTCAATTTAGGGTCCCTATTTTTCATAAACCCCCACATTGGGATGCTTGTGTCCTGCCTGTGACCCCCACCCCCAACCCCCGGACCCCCATGCTTCTACAGCTGGACGTGCCGGCAGCACGTCACCATGCCATCGCGACCCTGGGGATTCGACACGTGATGCCCCCCCAAGTCCAAGCTTTACGAAGCCCATCAAGGCGCGTCAACAAGTCATTGAGGTGCCTGGATGCCTGGGCTCTTGGGTCCATAGAGCTGGGCTCTTGGAGTTCCCCCAAGGCTGGAGTTCATGCTCGCGTCCTGAAGCTGCACTCTTTTTTCAGCTGACCTTGCTGACCCGGGGTCCGGAACGCAGCTGCCAACATCAACACCCAGTTTTCGCGGTGAGACTGGAGCCCCTCCGGAGGGCATCAAGAGAAAATCACCTTTCTCATCTCATGTCTGGAGGAGGCTGCGGCAACGCCACGATGGGCGGCCTGGGAGAAACAACAGCCCAAGGTCGCTTGGCGACAGCTCCCCGTTGTCACCAACTGAACTACTGTTGGTTAGAAGGGAATGGGGGAATGAGGTACGCTATATCATCCCGTGGTAGAGAAAAGGGGACCCGAATTCCCTCATTCCCTGCTAACCAACAGTAAGCTTAGGCCGGCACGGAGTCGGCGTCGTGGCCACAGACTGATCGTACTGGAAGGCGACCTGTGCCTCAGAACTCGGGGCACTCAGCGGAATCCTGCAGACCTCTCCGCCGTGTGCTGAGGTCGAGTCGGCCACCTTCTCTGCAGCTTCTTGCCACTGTTGGGCCTCAAAAAGGCTCTGCATCCACAAAGCACTGAACCCTAAACCCTAAACCCTAAACCCTAAACCCTTAACCCTAAACCCTAAACCCTAAACCCTAAACCCTTCGCTTGGGCCGCAGGCAGACTCCCGGGCTTGGTCCGCCGTAGCACGATACCTGAAAGAGAACAGGCTCTCCAAGGAAGCGGAGAAAGACTGGTGCTGAGCCTTTTGCAGCGAGGCAGCTAACTACTAAGCATATGCAAAATTATACATAATATATATATATATATATATATATATATATGTGTATATATATGCGCACACACACACACGCACTCCATGAAACATGCATCTAGTGAACAACTTTGAACTCTGACTCCTCCTTTCTGAGCTCCGCGCTTGGCAGCCTCTGCTTCGGCATCCTCCGCCTTGGAGCCGAGGTCACAGCCCAGACTCGGAGCAGCTTCCGGTTTGGGAGGTCTACCCAAAAGCAAACCTACCAGGAATAGGAATACATAGACACATGTAGGGTTACTGGTTTAGGGTTTGGGGCAATAGCAAGGGCATGTAGGGGCTCCCATCTCACCTTTCCTTCACCCCAGGTGAGTCCCAACCCACCCCCCCCCCCCCCCCCCCGAAAAGCTGGCCTGGTGTCGCAAAGTTGTGGCTTCGCGTCTTTTCATGCCAGCGGCTATCCTGAAGCATGCACGTCTTCGAGGGCACATCTAGTCATCACATTGCCGCACTTCTGCAGTTTTGTGGGTCCTGTCCCCAGCTTCGGCAATCTTGTCGGCCTCCTGTTGCACTCGATCCATCTTAACCTCAAGCGACATCACAATCACAGGCAACGAGCTATCGAACTTCGAACCAAACGGCTCGGATCCTTAGGGGCCCAAGAAACCACATAAACATAATAAGGATCCTACTATTGGGGTATAAGGGCCCCTATAAGGAGGATTTTTGGGCCCCTGATCCTGCATTTGAGGGCTGCACCTTCGCCTCCCGCGCCACCTGCTCTGCGGCCGCGGCGGCCTGCTCGTACTCGGCAATCCGCTGCACGCCTCGGTCATCCACGAGGGACAACGCTGCCGTGGCCCTGCATGCGGCAAAAACGGGCCTGCCTGTCGCCACGGCGGAAACGTAGGGGAAGGCTGCCGTATTTGCAACCTGAGGCCATGCCCCATCCGAGACCAACCGATCTGCCTTAAAGAGGTTCTCCTCGATTCTCAACATCACAGACTGACGACCTTCAGAGTCACTCATCAAGTCTCCGGCCTGTCTCCTGTAAGCGGTGGTCTCGTCCAGATGCATTCGCCGCACATAGCTCTCCGCCTCCATCTGGGCACTTTGGGCGGCTGCATCCTGGACCATCCTCGGTCACGCGCAGTGCCGAAGCGAAACTCTGCTGAATGGAACCTGCTTGTCGAGAAAGAGACAGAGAGTGTGAGAGAGAGAGAGAGAGAAAAAAAAAAAAAGAATATATCAATAAAAATAGAATCAAATACAGCGAGAGAGGGAGAGTGAGAGAGCGAGAGCGAGAGCAAGCGAGAGAGCGAGAGAGCGAGAGAGCACGCCTGGATGCCCCCTAAACCCTTGTACGAAGCTTCGACAAACAAGCTGATGATGCCAAGCTTCGTCTTGGTGAGTTCCCTGGTTCGTTCTCCCACCTGCAGAGCGATGTCAAGAACTATCTCATAAACGAAGGAATGCGCAGCGCATCGGCCGTTTTTGCCATCTGAAAGGATTCTCCGACCAATTTCAGGGGAAACTACAGTATCTGTGACTGTATGACTGAACCTAAGACATTGTCGGCCAGATTCAGAATAACCTCACTGCACCGGAATTCTCTGCGGGCGGGCACTCCAGGGGACACACGGCGGGACTTTCTGTGGCATTCTTTGAGACACTCCAGAATACCCAACGGGACTCTCCACGGGCTTCTTTGAGGGTGGCTGGGACATCGGGCGAGGAGGCGGAGGAGAATGGTTGACATAGAACCCAACAACCCCACACCACACCGACAGTGGGTGGGGAGGCCCTTCAACCCCCTTTGCGAACAAAACTACGGATGCCCGAAACAAGCGCCTTGCGGAGGCTCGCCTTCGCCTTCTTCAGGGCCTGGGCTTTGGAGAGAGGGGCGGGGGATTCTTGGGGTCTGTTGGGTTTTGGGTTTGGAATGTCGGCTTGAACTAGTTAGGCTTTTGGAGGGAAAACCAAAAAAAAAAGATACTGCTCCCTCCGGCAATCGGGTCAACGATTTGAGGGTTCGTTGGGTTCGTTTAGGGTCTTGAAAGTTCTTGAAACGTGTCTTTAGGGGCTTAGAATCCTAACTTAGCGCTTCCCTGACAGAACCCGGGGCTGGGATGGGGCCAGGGCGTTGTAGCTTTGGGCCACTGCCTCTGCAGCAGCGGAGGCATTTGCCTGCACAGCAACCATGAGATGTCCCAAAGGATGATGGGAGATTCTCCCAAGCCTCTGAAAGCTGGAAATCTGGCTCGTAGGTCTTGGACTGCTCAACAACAGCTGTCCTGAGATCCCAGGTGCAGTGATGCGCAGCGCATGACGTGCAGTTTGCATGTGGGCAGCTTCCCAGGAACAGCCCCTGCTGCCCCTGCTGCTGGGCGGCTTGACCCTGTCCAGCATCTTCGTAGAACGCTTGATCTCCTGGCAACGCGCCAAGTCACATCTGCTGTCAATGCGGGCCTGCTTCCTTCCACAGCCCCGTGGCGCCTAAACGGATGTGCTTAAGCAAAAAGCTCTGCTTCCCCATTCTCGGTTGCCCGATGCAAAGAAGCGGAGTTTAGCCACAGCTACTTTGAGGTTCGTGTGCAGTGCCCAAGTCGCCTGGCTGTGCAGCTTCGCACGTTCTGCAGCGTAGGCCATGCGAGCGGCCGCGGCGCCCGCTTCGGCGCGGGTGCGCTCGACAACGATGCCGCGCAGGTCCCAGCTGACCTGCTCCGGCTGTTCAGCCCAGAAACCACACCCCAAAGAGTCCAAGAGGCACTGAATCTTCAATTTGCAAGCGCATCTATGACACTTTAAGCTCGGCTGGCAGTTCTCCAGACCCAGAGAAACCGAAACCCTGCACCGCAATCGCCTTTGTGATGTCACATGGCCAAGGGCTCTACATTCTAGAGTCTAACCCTAAACCCTAAAAACCCCAAAAACCCTAAAACCTAAACCCTTAAAACCCCTAAAACCCTAACAACCCTATAAAAAAAACCATAAAAAACCTAAAAATACCCTAACGCGTGATAAGTCCGAAGACAAGCCTTCTTGAGCTCCTCCTTGGCCACAGCATCGGCTGCAGCTTCCACCGACTTTGCCTCTGAGGCCGTCTGCTTTGCCTGAAGCTTCAGAGGCCGCTGCGGTTTAGGGTTTAGGGTTTAGGGTGGGTTTAGGGTTTAGGGTTTAGGGTTTAGGGTTTAGGGTTTAGGGTTTAGGGTTTAGGGTTTAGGGCTTAGGGTTTAGGGTTAGGGTTTAGGTTTTGGGTTGAGGGCTGCTTATTAATTAGGTCATGAGCAGACGCAGCAACTTGACTATTTGATTTCCGCAGGCTTCTTGCATCACCACTTTCACACTGATATTGGGGCGCGCAAATCAAGTAGTGTTGTGCAGGCCTAAGCTTGCAAATTTGTGCTTATTAAACATTGACCATGAAATCCTGTACGTGTGTGTGTGTGTGTGTGTGTGTGTGTTTGCTTGTTGACGGTTATCGGTGCCCTCGTATTTGCCCCCGCGCAATAAAACAGAAATGTAAGTCATAGACCAACCTCAGAACTGGCACAAGCACTTGCTAAACTTTAGCATAGAAGATATCAAATTTCACGCCTTGCTTCTTTATCAACAGGAAACATAGGCAAACACCGTTTCTTATGACAACGTGTTACACTTTATTTGGTACATTTGCACGGTCATCACGAATACTCTTATACACTATGTTCGTATATTCCGTAGCGTGTCAAGAAGGGCCGCTGATGTCGATCAACCCCTCTTGTGCGTCTGTTGGTGCGGTTTGGAACAAGGCGCTTTTATGTACCTAAGCCCTGCATCCTGAAGCCCAAAACCTGCACCTTGAAGGCCGAAGCACTGAACTCTAAACCCTGAGCCCTGCACCCCAAGCCCTGAACTCTAATCCCCGAAACCTCAACCCTAACCCCCTATACCAAAAAACCCTAAACTTTAACCCTAAATCCCTGTAACCCCCTAACCCCCTATAACTTATAACCCTACACCTCAACCAAAGAAGCCCCAAACGCGCCAAGCCACTGGCTCCTTGAGGTCACCTGGCGACCACTTGGGAGCCTTCGGGAGGTCGAAACCTCGGCTCGCCACCCATCTTAGGGTACCGTAGGGGGGTGAATTATTCGAATACGGCTTTGGGGGGGGGTCGTTGTAGTATAGTTACAAAGGGACCATCAGGGATTGTTCCGACCCCTATATTACCTTCCTTGAATCCCCAGACCTTAAACTCTAGACCCCAACTCCGGAACCCTAAGCCCGACACCCTAAACCAAGGAAGCCCCAGATGCTTTTTTGGGTATCTCCCACAATTGGGGTACCCCTTTGATACCCCAAATAGGGACCCCAAAAGGGTGCCCCTAATTTCGGAAACCTCCATCTGGAAATATCTGGGAACCTTTTGCCGAGAGGGCATCCCCCTTCTTTTAAGGCCCCAAGAAGGGGCAATAAGGGGATCCTGCTATTTGTGGGGTCTATACTAGTTTTTTAAACCCCGTATGACAAAATGAGAAAAATATCCCAAGCTCCCATCTGGAAGCCTCCGCCGGTCTTGTTCGCACTGTTGAGGTTGGCGCACTGGCCACCTTTAGCGGCTTTGAGGGCTTTGGGGTCTAGGGGTCTAGGATTTTAGGATTACCCCAAACCCTGAGCCCTAAACCCCTACACCCTAAACCCCGTGCGCTTGAGCGGTTTGAGCCAGGACCTCTTCAACAAACGGAACCCTAAACCCTAAACCCCAAACCCTAAACCCTAAATCCTAAACCCTAAACCCTCCCGAAACCCCCCAAACCCTTCACACCCCAAACCTTGAGACCTCAGCTTGAGCCGGGCCACCATTGATGAGCACTTGAGGCACACAGTTGTGGTAGCAGTACCGGGCGTAGTCTAGGGCACTACCGGGCTTCACGTACTGCTCCTGGTCGGGGGCAGTTGGGGGAGAAGGGTTGGGGGGGAAGGGGACCGGGGGGGGGGGAGGGGGGATTGGGGATTGGGGGTTAGGGTTTAGGGTTCAAGGTTTAGGGTTTAGGGGTTAGGGTTTAGGGTTTAGGGTTTAGGGTCTAGAGTTGAGGGCTTAGCCCGGCTTAGGGTGTAGGGTTTAGGGTCGAGGCTCAATGCGCTTAGGATTTAAGGGTGTGGTCTTCCTTCTCCTCCCATGATGAGCTTGACCTTAAAGCATCCTAACCCCTAAACCCTAAACCCTAAATCCTAAACCCCGTCCTCCTCCAGAGTGTGGCGTCGGTCGCGTGCGACGCACTCCATCGGGCACTCGTCAGTGGCGGGGCTTGCATGCACGCACTTGTGCGTCAACAGCGACCTCGGCCGCCCAGCACCGTAGGGTTCAGGGTTTAGGGTTTCAGGGTTCAGGGTTTAGGGTTTAGGGTTTAGGGTTTAGGCTTTAGGGTTTAGGGTTTAGGGTTTAGGGTTTAGGGCTTAAGGTTTAGGGTTTAGGGTTTAGGGTCCTCATGCCAAAAGCCCTCCGATGATGCCTGACGTAAGGCCAAGTGGCTGCCCATCTGCACTTCGTTCCACCTCCTGGTCTGCCCGCTCGGTAGCCATGCAGCAGGTGCAGGCACAGGTCTTGAAGTCCTCGGATGATGCAACAACTCAATGATTCAAGAATTGGAACATTCAGCAAAGGAGTAATGTAACTATATCTAGCAGAGGAATACCTTAATGCAATAGTCTAAGAGTCTAACAAGATAACAAGGTCATTCTGCAATCGCATTGCTATGCCCGTGGCGAAAGACAACAGGCCCAGGCCTCGGTAAGGCCTCAACCTATCCATTTCCAGGACCCTGTTTAGGGTTTAGGGTTTAGGGCTTAGGGTTTAGGGTTTAGGGTTTAGGGTTTAGGGTTTAGGGTTTAGGGTTTAGGCCCCACATTCCGCCCGCACTTCTCTGTCGGGGATCGAAAGCTGCTCTCTCCACCACATCCTAATCAGGGGTCTTTAGGGTCTTTTGGGCCTTTAGGGTTTTTGGGGTATTTAGGGTTTTTAGGGTTTTTAGGGTATTTAGGGTTTTTGAGTTTTTTATGGTTTTCTAGGGTTTTTAAGGGTATTTAGGGTTAGCTCTCTTGCTCAAGTGGGGAGTCCGACAGGCTTGGCCCCTGATGTTTTGGAGCTGTTCATCAAGCCTGTGCGGCGTCTCTTGAGCGAAGACGTCCCTAACTCAAAGGATCAGGAAAGGATGTATGTCCTACATACACATTGCGAGCTTTACATGTACCAACTTGGGATGTTCCCCCTTCTACTAAGAGTCCTTACTAGGGATTTTATAGTACCCCCTATTCTAATCCCGATTGAGGACTGTTAGTACTTGGGGGAACATGCCAATGTACAACCCTCCGCAGCCTGGGGCCACAACACAGCACCCTAAACCCTAAACCCTAAACCCTAAACCCCGAACCCTAAACCCTAAAGCCTAAACCCCAAACCCCAAACCCTAAACCCTAAGAACCCGCTCCTCGCCGGCAGCCTCCAGCCTCTTGAAGATTCCAGGCTCGCGCTTCTCGGCGCCGACCTCATGGGCATTGGGGGTTTAGGGTTTAGGGTTTAGGGTTTAGGGTTTAGGGTTTAGGGTTCAGGATGCAAGCTCACGAGCGGCTTCCACATCTACGGCTGTGCCCCGAACCGCCGACAGCAGCAGGGCAACCAGAAGGCGCCCTGCGGGAGAGCAAAGAAGCATTGGCAGCCGAGGCCGTTCATACTAATATGTATATCTTGTTTTTTTGTTGCCTTATTTCTTTATTGTTTTCTGTCTTTTCTTACTCACATATTTGTTTATTTAGGTATGTATATGTGTATATGTAAGTGCTTTGAGCGCATCATGTTGCGAGCGCCGTGGGAAGGGACTCTCCCGGCTGCAGAAGCCGTGTCATCAATGCCTTATTCTACTGTTCTCCGATTAGGCTACTATATTATGTCATATTGTATTATATACCATATCATGGTATATATTCTATTCTAATCTTATCTGTTCTATTCTGTTCTATCGGCAATGCATTGTTAGTCTTCTATGAAAGTGTACTATTAGATGACTAGGTTCTTATTACACTATTTTATATTGGCCTAAACTATTATTCGTTTTCCATGCTTCATAATTTTGAAGAGTTTCCTGGGATGTCCCCTAAATCCTAAACCCTAAACCCTAACCCTAAACCCTAAACCCTAAACCCTAAACCCTAAACCCTAAAGTAGATTTTCCTGGGATGTCGTGACTTGTTTCCCTGGCCCCGGCCTCCGCCTAACTGCATTGCTCTCAGAAGCAGCCCGCGGAGCCTGGCGCAGTTTGCTGCCAACACCGTGCGGCACGCGGATGCGGGGAACCCTCGGGTTTAGGGTTTAGGGTTTGGGGTTTAGGGTTTAGGTTTGTTTAGGATTTAGGGTTTAGGACTTAGGGTTTGGGCTACCGGCTGGGACTTTGCGAACCTTGCTGCCTGCCCCCCCCCCCTTTCATCTTAGTTCAGGGCTTTGGCTTCAGGGGGTGCGGCCCTAACGGTCAGGGTATGGTTTCGCGTCTAGGGTTCGAGTTTTGGGGGGAGCTGTAGGGCTTAGGATGCAGGTTCCGGGATTAAGGGCTTCAAAGTGGCTGCATATGAGCTGAAAAACACTAAAGCTCAGAACTCCACCCCCCCCCCCCACCCAAAAATGAATGCAGAAATAACAACCTAAGAACCCGTTTAAGCACGCACGGAAAACTCCTTGAAACCCTTTCAAAAACACCAAAAAACACCAAAAACCACCGAAAACAAAAAACTCTAAATGAGCTCTTGGTTCGACCCCGTACTCAACCCTTCAAGACACCTGACTCAGGGTTCTTTTAGGGTTTTAGGGTTGAGGGTTGAGGGTTGAGGGTTTAGGTTATAGGGTTTAGGGTTTAGGGTTGAGGGTTGAGGGATTCAGGGCTGAGGGTTTCCCATGCGTGCCTCTGCGAGACTCCCTGCGGCTTTCCCCAGGTCACAACGAGCCAGCCGCGTCGGGCGGAGGTTCGCAGGGTTTAGGGTTTAGGGTTTAGGGCCAGGGGATTGAGCGGACTGAAAGTGTCGGGTTTAGGGTGTAAGGCTTGAGGTGTTCCGGGGTCAGGGTTTGATGTTCGAGTTTGGGGCAGGGCATTGGGGTGGCTTGGGCGCTCCATTGTCCAGAGGACATTATTCTCACAAGCCCTGTGAAGGGAAGGATCGGTAAGTACGGAGAGGCAGGCGAGGTAGCTTGGCGAGGTAGCTTTAGGGTTTAGGGTTTAGGGTTTAGGGTTTAGGGTTTAGGGTTTAGGGTTTAGGGTTTAGGGTTTAGGGTTTAGGGTTTAGGGTTTAGGGTTTAGGGTTTAGGGTTTAGGGTTTAGGGTTTAGGGTTTAGGGTCTACGGTTTAGGGTTTAGGGTTCCTCTCGAAACGCTGATCAAGGCTTCCCGTTTTTCCCTTGGTCTCGCAGCGAGGACCCACGTTGGCATACCTTCGTTTCGCCTGCTCGCAATCCTCTGCAGCTCGCTCGGCGATCAGAATACGATGGCTTTGAGAGACTTTGACTTAAAGCCGCCGGAGCGGAGCGCTGAGGAGTTGGCACCAAATTCAGCATGGACGGAGCACATCAGGTGACCAACCATAGCCAGTTTGTGGGCGTTGGTTTCACGCCGACTCATGGCATGCAGTGTGCAGTCATCGAGCCACTGGCAGTCAAGGAAAATTCAGTGGAACTACGGCGTGGCATCAAGGCTACAAGAGAAAACAGCCTCCGAGCTGCCTAAAGTGAAGTGCAAGGTGGACAGCTGCTTGCTGGGACATGTCAATATAGCGTGGACAGAAAGTGGCAGCCCGTCAGCTTGTGGTGCATAGCTCCCTCCGGGACTGTCCATTGGCGAAGGTCACGAAAATTCAGCAAGGCTGCCGACTTCGCTCATTACACCATTCCCCTGCTAAGCACCTATGATGTACCAATTCTAATCAGCTGTTGAAAGTTGAAACCGTAGCACCTGGCACTTGCACTGGCATCAGTTGCAGAGGCCAAGTTGAGCTCTCTGCTGAGCTTGGGCAGCCGCTGCATGTGACATTCGTTCACCAGAGTCAAGTCAGCCATCGCACTGACCTCTGCTCCCAACCAAAGGCAGCATCCATGGCACACTGCCTTGGCCTCAGACATCAGCATCGCCCGTGGCAGTCGACGGTAGACTTGCTGTGAGTTCTAGAAGACGAGCCCTGGCAGCAGCTTCCAACGCACACAGAAGACATGTCATGTCAGGAGGAAGAGTGATGAGCGGTCGCCAATAAGTGCAGCCAAGTCTCGCTTGTAGGGCGTCGTTATCGGCCACTTGTTCGTGTGTCCGTGTTGTCGCGGCCACGTGTTATGAAAGGAACGAATCGATGGCCCGATGGTCCGAAGGTCAACACTCCGTGAGGCTTCGGATGTACGGGTCTTGGTGGGTGTGCCGGGTGTGACTCTTGCTGTCTCTTTCAGTTTGTGCGGGTAGGTGACCTGTCGGTACCAGCACACCCACCAACCGGAAACGACCAAGAGACAACATTGAATCGATGTGCAGAATCATTTCCGTGCAACGGAAATGACCTGCAGGTAAACCAATCAGGCGCAACAACCTCGGCACGCAGAACATCAACGCGAGGCTCATGCGATATGGATGTTGATGGGCCCCCCCCCCCCCGCTTCTTCCTGCGTCTGGTTTGGGTCATGCAAGATGCTGATGCATGGTGATGCTATGCACTCGGGTGCTAAGGCACGGACACTCGGTCCATGGGGTTGAGCCGGCTGAGGGCAAAGCTCAGGATTGGCGCGGTTGGCATGCAGTCACCGTTTGGTCTGCAAGCGGTCCAAACTCGCCCACACTTTCCCCAAACGACGATACGATTTGAAGTTCCGGGCTTTCGGACAATCAGCTCAGATGGATGGACTGAAATCTGGATGGATTGCCTGCATACCAACACAGCCAATCGGGCGATCAGCTGCAGGAAGAAGATTCTTGGCGCGAGCAATGGCTCGTGCCAGAGACTCGAAGCCTCTCTTCTTGTCTGCGACATCACCATGACATCACCCAGCGAAACTTCTTCCTGACAGCCACTGTACACCTCTTCAACGTCTTTTGTACGAAGGGAGCTACTCCAGCTTTACCGCCGTGCCCTTGGGAGGACCTCTAGGTCCCAGGAGCAGCTTGAGCTGCTGAGACCGAGGTCCACCGTGCATCCCCCATTCATGACAGCAGGCTCGTGTACCGGCAGCGCTACTAATATTCTTAATATATACCTAATACTCATCGTAGGAAAAATTAAGAATGATAGTATTAATGGTAGTAGTCGTGGCAGACGTCGACTGTCAACCTTACATTGCGCGCCCCCCCACATGAAAGATAGTTAGCTCATCATGGTCTGCCAGTTCTAGGACTCGCAACTAAGATTTGTGTAGTAGGCTGGACTCGGGGGGGGGGGGGGGGGGAGGGCGGCCCTGGGGGAGAGGCATTCTGTCATTTGGGCAGGAGGCGCAGACTGCCATGCTGCTGTAACAACCGTAGTGAACCCATGAAGGGCGGGTGCGGCAAAGCCGAGCTAACCATGCTTTGCCAGGAGGGCTTCGCCTTCCGGCACAACCACTTGCAACGGTTCCGGTACGTCTGCAATCAGTCGGCAGGTTGATGCAAGAGAACGAGGGGGCCACAAGGCCACCCCCAGGTCGCCTCGGGTTGTTGTAGACAATTTGGGGGGGCCAACCTGACTGACGGCCTGATGCAAACGTGCACCCGCACATCGAGAAAGTCAGACAGACATCGCAACACTCACAATCATGACAGTAGCTGGAACTGGCAGTTGCAAAGTGGGTTTCTCGACAGGGGCGCGGCCGTGCGCAACAAATATTTGCACACACACGCAAGTGGCTTTAGAACTGAAGCTGCGCCAGGTCTGCTGACATTGGCCAGGCGTTTCAGTCTTAGCCGCGCGTCGCTATCAGTTCAAACCATTTCAAAGTGGAATATGGACAGCGTGCCTCAGGCTAAGTGGGCACTCCAGGCCGCGCTGCCAACACTCCCACTGTAGGGCCAGGCTCGAGCTAGTACAGCTAGTACCTGGCCCAAGTCTTCCAGATCGTCCCCCTAAACCCTAAGCCCTAAACCCTAAACCCCACTTCCCTTCGAAGCTGTGGGGAGACGTCGGCACGCAGACTCCCGTGCATTGTGCAAGGCAGGGAGGCTTAACACGGCCCCTCTTACAGCCAATTCAGTATTTACACGCGCCTGGGCATCACCTGGGGCAACGGTTGCAACTGGTCTGTGCGTTTTTGTGTGTGTGTGTGTATGTATGTATGTATGTATGCATGCATGTATGTATGTATGTGTATATAATATATATATATATATATATACATATATATATATATATGGTACCCCCCCCCCCCCCCCCCCCCAGTGACCTACCCTTTTTCGCCTTGTCTCAAGTCACACTAAAATCGCATACACGGGACAGTAGAAATACCAAAAACCAAAACCAAAAAAACCAAAAAACCAAAACCAAAAAAACCAAAAAAACCAAAACCAAAACCAAAAAAAACAAAAAAACCAAAACCAAAAAACAAAAATGTCCGGGACTCTCAGGAAATCCCTATGAGGCTTCTCCAAGAGTCCCGGACAATTGGTTTTTTTGGTATTTTTGGTTTTTTGGTTTTTTGGTTTTGGTAATTTTGGTTTTTTTGGTTTTGGTGTTTTTGGTTTTTTGGTTTTGACATTTTGGCTTTTTGGTTCGCCTTCACGGTCACGAGGCAACAACTACGCATTTTTAAGTGTGCTTATGCTAATTGTGCTTTTCAGAAATAGTATACAAGTGGTCTTTCTAGTGCTTCAGAACTATTTGTTTCGTTATTATGTAAGTAGAGCCGCTAGTGTTTAGTGCATCTTTTGGTTGTACTCAAGTGTAGTAGACCTTATTCAGCCATTACTTGGTGCTCTGGTAGCTCAATTCGCATGGATAATATTTGCCTGGTAAATGCGATTAATTATCTAGAAGCAGCATTTGCAATACTTGTCTTGAGAAAAAGCATTTATTGCTTAGAATTGTTTGCTTAAAAAGTGACGCCTACTCGTCCAGGAATACCCCAAAACCCTATAATCCAAACTTTACCAGAGATTCTCCTGAAAAGCTTGCGCTTTTGGATGTTTTTATGTATTTGTGAATTTGCTTGTGTATGGCCTTCACTAAGTACTTTTCTAGGATTCTTGTGCATTTTTTAAGCCTGATTGTGCAAGTTGCGTTTTTCAAGCATAGTATATATGTGGTCTTTATTGAATACTTCAGACATCTTTGTTTCATCGTTATGTAAGTAGAACCGCTTCTATTTCCATTATTGTGCATTTTTAAGCTTGCTCATGCAAATTGTGCTTTTCAGACATAGTATATAAGTGGTCTTTAGTGAATACTTCAGCAATCTTTGTCTCATTGTTATGTAGGTAGAACCGTTTCCATTTCCGCAAGTGTTTATTTCGTATTTGGTTGAGTATGGTCCTTTAAATAGAATTCACTTGAGTCAAATTGGGCTATTTGCTTAAGAATTCCTCTAGTAGTTAAATTCGCATAGAATGAATACTTCAAAAAAATTGCTTCATGAATATGTAAACATAAGGTGTTTCATTTGACTTTGCAGATAATGCTTCAATAATACTTTGCCTGGTATAAACACAACTGTTTCAATGCATTAGTTGCTCAACAAAGCACTATTTGCCCTTTAAACCACACTTTGCCATATTTTGGTTGAATATGGTGCTTCTTTCGTATTTTGGTTGAGTATGGTCCTTTAAATGGTATTCACTTGAGTCAAATTGGGCTATTTGCTTAATAATTACTCTAGTAGCTAAATTCGCATAAAATGATTATTTCAAAAATAAAACGATTCATGAATATGTAAACATAAGGTATTTCAGTGGACTTTTCAGAGAGCATACTTTGCCTAGTACAAACACAATTGTATAAATACAGTATTTGCACTTTAAACGCACACTTTGCCATTTTTTGGTTGAGAATGGTGTTTATTTCGTATCTTGGTTGAGTATGCTCCTTTAAATAGTATTCACTTGTGTCAAATTGGGCTCTTTGCTTAATAATTACTCTAGTAGCTAAATTCGCATAGAACCAAGAAAAATGTTTCACTATTTGATTAATACTTTGCCTCGTACAAACACAATTGTATAAATCAATTAGTTGCTCAACAAAACATTAATTGCCCTTGAAACGCACAATTTGCATAGAAAAACACTGATCTAAACATCTACAAACAGCATTGTCCGCTTCAGATTCAAAATGTAGATTCTTCCAATGCTGGCTTATCGGGGTCTGTGAGGTGGGTGTCCCAGTAACTGTCCTTCATTACCCGGTGATTAACTACGCGACTTTTGGGCCTTCTTGTTGTTTTTTGTTAAAAAGGCCTAAAAAGGCCTAAAAAGGGTAGGTCGCTGGGGGGGGGGTAGCATATATATATATATATATATTCAAGCAACACACATGGCCCGCATCGGGTACAGATTTCCTGAAGCTCTGTAACATCGGGGATACGGAATTTCTACACATCTAAAACAGACATGACTTGAGGGACACCTCTTGTCTTCCATCTAGAAGGAGAGGAACTAAGGCAGCTTCCCCTCGGGCGACACATCTTGCTTTCCATCTTGAAGGGAGGGGAGCTAAAGCACATTGACTCATTCCTCTAACTTCTGCTTGTTACCCGTGCTGTTCGAGTCAAACCCCGATACCACACCATGAGATCCTCAGCCCTCTAAACACCACGGAAAACGGTCGGCTGTGGCAGCGGACGTTGCCCAGTCGACGAAACTCGGCACTGCATTGCAGTGCGGATCCCGAGTCTCCTGGACAGTTGGTCATGGGCGCCTTTTGGGGGATTTATCCTGAGTATAAGGACTGCCATTTTGCCGGCATGAGCATCATCTGGGGAACTGCCCATTTAGGGCTTACGTAGGTTGCCGGGCCGCACCTGCAACAAAATTCAAGGACAGGGTTGAACTCCCCGAAACCCTAAACCCTAAACTATAAACCCTAAACCCTAAACCCGAAGCCCCTCTTCTTGCGCCTCCTGCGGTTGCGCTCCGCTTCCCCACGAGCTACTCATGTTGCAAGGACCCGTGTCTGGCCTTGCAGCGCGAGGGCATCTTGCGTTCCGATATTTTGGGGACTTCCCAAAATAGGGGTACCCGATTTGGGGAGGGATTCCATTCTATTTGGGGCATCAAAGGGGCAACCCCCATTCTGGGGGGTTGATTTTGGTGATCTTTTCGGGGGGTTTAGGGTTTACGGGTTTAAGGGCTTAAGGCTTTAGGGTTTAGGGTTAAGGGTTAAGGGTTTAGAGTCAAGGGATCATAGCTTACGGAACCCCCCCCCCCCAACAAAAAATAATGCATTTTTCCTTCTATACCCTTCTCTTTATGGTAACAAAAAGAAGCCCATAAAACGCAGAAGCAGCACGGCCCGACGTGCAGACCGCGCCGGCCTTAAGCCGACGATGAAGCCGAGCCGGATCGAGAGCGAGCACCCATCGCCTGTTGCGGCCTTCGCAGCTTGCTGATAAAGAAGCTCGGAGTTTAAGGGTTCAAGGGCGTTTTGTACGTTTAGGGTGAGGTTTTTTCATGTCTCGCCCTTGCTGACGAGGAAGATGGAAGGGCCAAGATCGTTAAGAGAGCTTCCTCGGGGCAACTAACTTCGCGCTGCGGATCCAGCATGGCTCCTCAGCATGGAATGAGACAATGATTCGTCTCTCCTACAATGGATTCCAGAAGCAAGCTGCCGGAAGGGGTCTTCTCGTTCAGCGCAACTTTACTGGGGGTCCCGAAACCCTAAACCCTAAACCCTAAACCCTAAACCCTAAACCCTCCCGGAGTGCAGGACACACTCCGAGGCCGCGGCAGGATGCGCTTCACCCTGGCAGGACTGGTCTTGTCGTCGTCCTTCAACGTAGGACTTCTCTGGCTGCTGATTCGCCGGAGTCTGTCACTGTTTTTTTTTAGCAAGAAAGATACTTGCCACTTCTGATCAGAGTCCTCGGAATCACCCACTTCTGTGCTGGTGTCGGAGCCTGCAGCAGATGTAAGATGTAGGCACAAGCAGTGGCCGAGGCGCAGTCTCACTGGCTGCTGGTCAGCTTTTAGCATCTTCGCCGCGCACATGCTCAACTTGCAACGCTCAGGCCGCGGCCAAAGGCAAGCTTTGTCGCGTTCCGGGGGCGGGGGTTTCCGGTGACCTCTTCTTCAACCTTGACATGCTATGTCCGGCCTTCAACAATGGCCCTCGGCACTTGAAGCTGTTCACATCCAACGTTAGATCGCGCCTTGGGCATGTAGCCCCAGTTTGGCATGAACGGCATGAAAACAGGCGCCTCGGAAGTCGATTTAGATTGCAAAAAGCACGTGACTGCGTTCAAACGCGGCCTCTGCAGAGAATTCGTAGGGAGCCTGCGGGTGAACAAATCTCAGGTCATGCAGAAGTCACGCCAGTGGGCGATTTTGACACTGCCCCTGGGCAGTCCAAGCAAGCCGGATCGACCATGGAACTCGGTTGAAAGGCAGGGGCTTCCGCGGACATCTCCTAGGCGCTCAGCTTCTCGCCGGCTGGGGCTCGCTAGACTTTCGCTTTGTGAACTTTCCTGGGCCCCTGAAGCCTGATGCCCTAAACGATTGCTTGGAGGTTCATGGGTACTTAGAACCCCAAATATCACTGTACTTATCACCTACTTAGGGGACTTCAGGGGCTTATAAGTACAGTTATCACTGGGGTTTTAAGTACCCATGAACCTCCGAGTAAACGATTGGTGTGCGTGGTTTCGTCCCGCAGGCGAGATGGTGGTGGAGGCGAGTGAGACCTGTAGCAACTCCCAGCACCAGCTTGTGAGAGGCCGAGAAACCCGAAACCCGAAACCCTAAACCCTCAGCCCTCAGCCCTAAACCCTAAACCCTAAACCCTAGACCCTCGACCCTAAACCCTGTGAGCAACTGGGGCGCGGTCGTTGGAGGCTGAGGCATGAGCCTTCTTCTTCGTAGCCCTGCGCGGCTCTCTTGCTCTTGGAAGAGCCCCCCCGACAGTTTAGGGTTTAGGGTTTAGGGTTTAGGGTTTAGGGTTTAGGGTTTAGGGTTTAGGGTTTAGGGTTTAGGGTAAAACAGACCATCAGGTAGCAAGGATTTTGGGCCATGATACTAGTTACTAACTGGACATGAAGTAGAGGAAATATGATGGGAATGGTGTGTAAACATGGTAAGATGGAAATGGACATGGCGATGGAATTTCGTGCAGTCTCGGGTATTGTAGTGCTTGTGGGGAGGCGATTGCGCCCTCATCCCCACAGGTCAAAGTAAGACCCTCTGGGGCACAGGCTTGCTTGGCTTCGCTTCCCTTGGAGGAAAAAGCTCTGCAGTGACCTGGAAGCAGGTTCAATGGTTTGGGGGTTTGGGTTTCGTGTTTAGGTTTTAGGTCTTAGGGTTTAGGGTTTGGGCTCTAGAGTACAGGGGGGTTGATAGACATGCGCTCGGCCCTTTCCTGGTCCGTGTACATGATCCCTTTCAACGCTTGGTAGTCTGCGGGCTTTCTGGGGTGAGTAGGGCCATTCGGATCATACAGCGCAAGCTCCCGTTTCGACAGGCGATGTACTCGAAGCTACTCGTTTGCCAGCTAAGTTGCCACACTGAGGCGGGAACCACAGCACCGGACTTGTTGTCCCACTGGCACCCAGAGAAATGCGTGACCTTGAAGTCACAGGGTGATGTGAAGTGGGGTATATATTTCTTGTACCCCCAATAGGACACCAGGTATATACACTCACCAATATTAAAAAGGAACCTTACATACACTCACCAATAACAGTAATATAAACCCTGCTTCATGTGATGTTCTGCACCTGCCTAGCTGACTCGGCCCCAGCAGCAGACTTCAGGAAAGACATATGAAGGAATGCAAGAGAGGTCCCGGAAAACATGACAGCCCATGTCTGAATCAGAAACCACGAAGGGGGGGGGGGCTCTGCATGCGGAGTCCCCTTGTAGATGCCTTGAGATGTTGGCCCTTATACTGACCAGATTGTAATGGGGGGGGGGGGGGGTACTATAATCCCTATTAACCCTAAACCCTAAAAAACAAGGGGGACATCCCAATAGGTACCTCCTGCAAGAGGGTTGCCTGACGAGAAGCGGCCCCACGTTTCACCCCCCCTAGCTGAATGATGGCACAAAGCCGTGGCAGGACTTACCTGCCCTACATGGAGGTTCATGGCACTTCTTAACCAATGATAACTGTACTGATAACTGTACTTATAACCATGTTAGGGCTTATAAGGGGTTTTAAGTGGGCTAGGCTTGACATGGGCCTGCGCCGTCGCATGTCCGGTGTTCTGTTCACGTTGCTTGACCTGCAAAATTGCACGGAATCTCCCAGCCTCCGGGTCATGTCCTTCTTAAGCATAGCTTCCATGGCTTCCGCGCCAGGTCCCATGCGACGGAGAGACTCGGGCAAGATACGCTGGCGCAATGGCCAGCTCATTCTATCAAAGTTGGCCTCCGCATCCTCTGGGCCCGCTGAGCCTGCTGGAGTCCTGCTCTCTAAGTACAGTTATAATTGGTTAATAAGTACCATGAACCTCCAAGTAGCCAAGGGCTCGGAAAGCCTATCAACAGCATGTTTACTCTATCACGGTCTCATTGTGCTTGTACATTATCAGATGAGAGTTTGTATACTACGCAAGCCCCAGGGACGTAAGCTTCAAACAGGGCCCTACAGGATTTGTTATAGGGAACAGTGTCCATCCCACCTCTCACCCCTCGATATACAGCAACGTACCGTAAACGTTTTCACGGTTGCTTCTGTAGGCGCCTGCCCCAACACCGAGGGCGTGGCACACCCCTGCGCCGCCGTTTGGTCTGCAAACTTGGCCACAACCTGGTTAAGGGCTGAGGGTTCAGGATTTAAGGTGCCGGGATTAGGGCGTAGGGTTGTCAATGTGTTCAATCTGCCGTTGGGTTTAGGGTTTAGGGTTTAGGATTTATGGCCTAGGGCTTGGGGTTTAGGATGGTGTAGGGCAGGCAGGGTATTTAGGGCATTGCTACATTCAGGGTTTACGGCCTCAGCCCCAGATTTTGCGAGCCCAGGCCTCCCCAGCGCCAGCTTGAATGGTGAACTCTTTCAGGTATCCATCAAAGCCAGCTTGTTGAAAGACCTCAGGAGGGTTTAGGGTGAAGGGTCTAGGGTTTCGGGTTGAGGGTTTAGGGTGTAGGGTTTTGTTTCATCTAAGGGTAGTTACATGGTCCCTTAGTATGGGCCCTTGAAAGGGGATCCCTTGTATACCCCGTATATGCCCTATAAAACCCAAGTGCCCATACTTCAGAACCCTTTAAAAGGCGGTAAGAGACCATATTAAGGGCCCATAGAACTACCCTACGATTTCTGGGTTTAGGGTCACCCGGTCAAGCACCCGGCTGCGTCCATCATCACCTGCAAAGGTGCAGGTCAACAGGCTCCGAAGGGTCAGTCTCGGCACTGACTCGCTCACACAAAAACCTTAGGCTTAGGAGTTCAGAGGTCTTCAATTCAGTCTTTATGATTTGGGGATGTTCGGGGCACTTCTCATCCCTGCAGTCGGGCCAATAGTAGCGAGATGCCACGAGCCTTAGTGAGGATCTTCGTCGGTAGGTTGCGGATGACCACCTGCCAGTCACTGGCCTGAGTCATTTCATGCCAACGTCCAGTCACTTTCACTTCCCCCAAACGCCAAACTCTGACACTAAACACTAAACCCCAAACCCCAAACCCCAAAGTCCGATCGAACCCCAAACCCACACCCCAAACCCCACACCCCACACCCCACACCCCACACCCCACACCCCACACCCTACACCCCACACCCCACACCCCACACCCCACACCCAAACCCCCAACCCCCAACCCCCAAACCCACACCCCCAAACCCCAAACCCCAACCCCAAACCCCAAACCCCAAACCCTTCTTTCGCCACAGCTCTTTGGGGCCCCCGCCGGCGCTCGCGCTGCTGGCGCCGCGGCGGCCACCGGCGCCAGCCCGGGCGGTGGCAACCTCAGTGGGTTTTGGGGATGCTTGGGGTTTAGGGTTTAGGGTTTAGGGTTTAGGGTTTAGGGTTTAGGGTTTAGGGTTTAGGGTTTAGGGTTTAGGGTTTAGGGTTTAGGGTTTAGGGTTTAGGGTTTAGGGCCTTTAAGGTTTAGGGTGTAGGGGCTTACTGATTTTTTGCCACCCGCCTATCTGACACTCGGGTTTAGGGTTTCGGCTCGACTGTAGTCAGCTTTGGGCAAGCGTGCTGCGAGCAAGACATACTCGGGCTCAGACACCTCCGGAACTTCCGGTGATTCCTTCAGAAAGATTCACGCGCAGCAATGGAAACAGGGTGGTCAGCAATATAACATATGTATATATATATATATATATATGTATATGTATGTAGATGTATGTATACATATACATATACGTATACATATACATATACATATACATATACATATACATATACAGATACATATACAGATACATATACATATACATATACATATACATATACATATACATATACATATACACATATATACATGTACATTTCTCACATAGATGTATCTACAAACCTGGATGACTGTAAAGACAACCCTACTTAGGACCATCCATGTGCCTTCACGCCATTCGCTTAAACCCTAGATAGACTCCCCCAGGCCCCACCAGGCCTTTGCTGCCGAGTTTGGCAGACCAGGTGGCAGCTGGATCTTGCAAGGGTCATGGTGCAGGGTTGATCTAAATATTGGGCACTTGTGTGTGGTGTCTATGATGGAACTTCCCGTATGGTTTCGTGGTCCCCGTTTGGGTCTTTGTGGTGCCATACAGACCACCCCCCCCCCCCCCCCCCCCACCCCGCAAAAACAAGGGGGCGCGGGACGATCATTTGATAGAACTGACCTCAGGTGTTTTGGTTCCGTCCCATGTCCCTCACTGTCACATCATTGCATGTGCTGCTGTCGCAGGGCTCCTTGGCTTTTTGGTATCGCATGGCATCACGCACATCGTAGAACTCCAAGAAGAAGGAGCCATCCTAGCATCATGCGGGTTCACGAAGGGCACTCACTCACAACCCGCGCGATCCCTCTGCCGTGCCCGCCTTGCTCTTGCAAACCTCCGAGATCTTCTGGAAGTCCTCTTGCGCATTCAGAGGGAGCACACCTCAAAATCTAGGGAAGGACGAACCATGTCCCTAAACCCTAAACCCTATACCCCATTCCTTACAGGGCCTTAGGGCTTCCATATCTTCCGAAGTGATCTTTCATGGGTCCTTGGTTGAAAGCTGGTCGTCCCCTGCCAGCATGACCGTGCGATCGCCTGGGATGCGGACCGCAAAGCCGCAAGGATGGGCACTCGGAAGCTTCTAGGTTTTAGGGTTTAGGGTTTGGGGTTGAGGGTTTAGGGTTTAGGTTTTGGGGTTTAGGGCTTCTACAAGCAGGCAAGGATTCAGGCGCTTCATGTCCTTCCTTCGACTCTCACACTCGCATGTCCTCCCTCAGGCATAGGGCTTCTCCCCTGAACCCCTAAATTCCCTCAAAACCCAAAAGCCCCCTCAACACCTAAACCCCTAAACCCCCCAAAAAAAAAAAAACCTCCAAACCACCCCGAAACCCCTACACCCCTGCACCCCTGCACCCCTGCACCCCTGCACCCCTACACCCCTACACCCCTACACCCCTACACCCCTACACCCCTACACCCCTACACCCCTACACCCCAAACCCTAAACCCTAAACCCTAACCCCCCCCCCCCCCCCCCCCACCCCCGTGGCCCTGCCCTCCTCGCAGTCCGGGACCCCCCGCCGACCTGAGGGCCTGGGATGCAGCCGGCCGCGCCAAAAGCCTGCAAGAGCCGTTTTGAAGGGATCTAGGATTTAGGGCTGAGGGCTTAGGGATTTAGGGACGTAGGGATTTAGGGATTTAGGGATTTAGGGCTGAGGGTTCAGGGATTTTGGGATTTAGGGATTTTGGGTTTAGGGCTTGGGGATTTAGGGTTTAGGACCTGGGGATTTAGGGTTCAGGCTTGCGGGTTTGGGTTTTTCCTCTTTTTTGTGTTGGGCGGGTAAACCAAGGATTTAGGGTCTTTTGTCTTTTGGGGAGGTGAGGGGCCAGGGAGGGTTGGGGTGGAAGGTTTGGGGCCTTAGGCCTTAGGCCTTAGGCCTTAGGCCTTAGGCCTTAGGCCTTAGGCCTTAGGCCTTAGGCCTTAGGCCTTATGGCGTCGAGGCCGGGTCGGGGAACGTATTTACGAGCTTGAGGCAGGATGAGTAGGGGTACCTCATTGGGGTTTAGGGTTTAGGGTTTAGGTTTAGGGTTTAGGGTTTAGGGTTTAGGGTTTAGGGTGTCCTTAGATCCTAATATTTGGGGGTCCATTATAGGGGTCCCCTATTTTGGTAAGCTCCCATATCGGATTAGATGAAGATATGTTAAAGATTGAATGTGACATTGTAGAGCCTAAATATCAATGACTCTGCATGTGCTCTTTTGGGAGGGCTTGGAACCTGTAGCCCAAGTTTCCAGTCACGCGTGCGGTTTTCAGGAATTTAGGGTAGTTTTGGGTCCCAAACCCGAAACCCCAAAGCCCAAACCCCAAACCCTAAACACTAAACCCTAAACCCGAAAACCTAAACCCTAAACCTTGGGGGCTTCCTGCTCAGACTTCCCCTGGGCCACCTTCACCGCTCGGCCGGCCGAACGAACATCGAAGAAGACGACCTCTCAAGTGCTCTCGTGAACAGGTGGAATCCGTGCTACCCTGCAAGAATGGGCTTTAGGCTTTAGGCTTTAGGCTTTAGGCTTTAGGCTTTAGGCTTTGGGCTTTAGGCTTTAGGCTTTAGGCTTTAGGCTTTAGGCTTTAGGCTTTAGGCTTTAGGCTTTAGGCTTTAGGCTTTAGGCTTTAGGCTTTAGGCTTTAAGGCTTTAGGCTTTAAGGCTTTAGGCTTTAGGCTTTAGGCTTTAGGCTTTAGGCTTTAGGCTTTAGGCTTTAGGCTTTAGGCTTTTAGGCTTTAGGCTTTAGGCTTTAGGCTTTAGGCTTTAGGCTTTAGGCTTTAGGCTTTAGGCTTTAGGGTTTAGGGTTTAGGGTTTAGGGTTTAGGGTTTAGGGTTTAGGGTTTAGGGTTTTCGGTTAGGGTTTAGGATTTAGGGTTTGGGGTTTGGGGTTTAGGGTTTAGGGTTTAGGGTAAGAGCGCCTGCACCTCTAACCTACTTAGGGGACTTAGGGCTTATAAGTACAGTTGCTACAAGTACCCGTGAACCTCCAAGTCAGGGCGCCTCCCTTAACTCTTCACCCAGAGCTCCGGTTCCCGGAGCAGGCCTGGACAAAGGTGTCGAACTTCTCCAGGCGCTGGACACGGGAAACCTGAAGTCGAAATGAAGTCGAAATCTCCAGACGGCCCCAAGGGGGTCAAAAACATTAAGCAACATCAAGGGCTTTCGGCTTAGGGTTTTTTTTCGGGTTCAGGGGAGCCTTGCCTCACCGAAGTTTTCAAATGCCACCTTTGCAGCATCCAGAGCCATCCCAGCAGGCAGTGGCTGGCGCAGGACAGGGCAATTTTTGGGGGGCATCATGAGAATAACAAGATTAATAATCACAGTAACAATAACAATGATGCTGATACTACTACTAGTAATAATAATTAACAATAAATACAAAAATCAAAAATGATAATAATAATAATAATAATAATACTAATAATGATAATCATGATAGTAATGATAATGATGATAATACTGCGTGGCGGCGCGAGCTCGCGTCCATACTCTCTCTCTGCCCTCCGAAGCTCCAAACGAACGGCGGGCTGGCCGCGATGATGCTGTTCGTGAGGGTCATCTCAACGTCGGCGACCTGAACCAAGCGATGCCTTCAAGTTGCTTGGATTCTACTCCTTATATACCCCTTATATACCCCTTATATACCCCTTATATACCCCTTATATACCCCTCATATACCCCTTATGTACCCCTCAACACCCAAGTGAGAAAAAAAGGGCGGCCCCTGGCCTGGAAGATGGTCACAAATTCACTGTGCTTGCCTCAGCGACTCGCGCAGCCGGCAAGCGAGCCCAGCAAGGATGTTGCAAGAAGGGCCTAAACCTGAAACCCTAAACCCTAAACCCCCAGCCCTCAACCCTAAACCCTAAACCCTTAAACCTTTTAAGCCCTTTTTGGGGCTGGTCACTTTGTGAGGGAAACAAAAGTAAGAAGCTTTCACCGAAGCCGGGCGGCTGAATCGATCAGCGCAGTGGTGCGGACCACTGCGAAGTGAGCAGGCGGCACTGAACCACTAGCTTTTGTGGCCAAAATGGCTGCGCATGAGCTCCGTCACCACAGGCTGTGCTCGGAAGTATGATGAAGCATGCAACTGCAGCACCAAGATCCTATGTCTGAGGCATCTTTTTTAGGTGGCCCCCGAACTCTTCCCTGAGGCGAGTCAGAAGTCCATCGTAGCGCGCCCCCTTGGCGCGCGGAGCTTCAGGAAACTACGCACATGTTGCTACATCGATCACTACACCGGTCACCGGAGGATCCCGCGGGCGCCGCCTGCCGAACCTAGTTCATGGTTGGGATAATCTTAACCATTTATTTTTGTTTATTCCTTATTGGGTTTTTTTAAGTACCCTTAAAAATGTATAAAATGTTACCCAGCTATGACAAGGGAACAGACGCCTGCTCGAAGGAGACCACGCGGCTGGCCTCGCTCTCGCAGAAGCTGCTGCGGATGACGGCACCCTGAGCCAAACCTAGCTCATGGTCGGGATCGTTATCAAAAATTCAAGATTTGTATTCCTTATTATTGGGTTTTAAGTGCCCTTAAGTTTGTAAAGGATAACCCAACGATGACCAAGAAACGACTCTCCCTCTTCTGGAAGGACTCCGAGGCACGCTTCGCAACCCTGTCAGGCGAGTGGGTCTCCTCCTCGGATTCCTCGCCGTCCTTCCACTCCTTCTGCTGCTGCACTACCGCAACCTCATGGTCGCCTACGATCTTGTCGCCTTCTGACAAATCCTGAAGGTTCACCGCTGCGACGGTCAGCCGCTTCTCCCTTGCTTCAAAGGACCGGGAGGCATGCCTCTCAATGGGCTTCTCATCTTCTGAGTCCTCTTCGCCGGCCCACTCCTTCGGCTCGGTCACCACCGGATGCGACAACCTGCGCTTATCGCTGCGAGTCGCCTCTACAGCTGCCTCAGCTGCCATGGTGAGAAGGGCTACGTGGCGATCTGCCCTCGAGGTGCGTTTGAGACAAGGCGGCTGCCGCAGCTGCGATCAGCGCGCGCCCGAAAAGCAACGAATGGCCATCTTTGCCATGCCCTCTAACATCCTCTAAGGTACGAGCGTAAGGCCTTTTCGCTTGCTGAAGCTGGCATGGGTCTCTCCACCACGACTGCAATACCGCTCTTCAGCACTGCATCTAGCCGGTGAAACCCTGCGTCGCTTGCAGGTCATCCATCTTTGCGGTTGGCTTGCAAAGCGGTGCTGTCTGCTAACCCGGTGCGGTTTGGCTATGCCAATTTCACGTTCAAGCTTCAACGTGATGGCACGATATGGCACGGCATGTATCATGTACGAAATCACCCGCATCAGGACGAAGTCTCAGCATGTCTCAGCCAACTGCGACGCCGTTGGTGCTGACCATGCTGCTGAGCGTCCCCTGACGGTGACGGTGCTCTGCTGCATGCGGAACATATCGCACATCGATCGCACTTGGATCCGGACAGTCGCGCCGTACTGTGTCCGCTCCGGGTTGTGCACCTGGGCCACAAGGACAGCAAAGACCATGACGACTGCGTCAGAAATGCCACGCTGCCATGACATTGCGGCAGTCATGACCCCCGCGCCTGCGAGTGAGTGATGGTGGGTTGGTAAGCTCGTCTCCGGGAGTCAAAGTCCTGGCTCGTTCACAACAAACTGCCTCCTGCTCGTAGAAAGATACCGGCAATTTCAAACCACAGGCCTGGCATGAAACCAAGCGTCCGTTCTGCCACTTCCTCGTGCTGATGCGTCCGTCCTGGCAACCGTTCAAGCCGCTGAAACATGTAAAAACAAAGACAACGCCTGCTTTTGAAGTGGGAGGGCATGCTCCTTGTAGTAGAAGGTCCCGCTCAGCTTCACGCCCTTGTCCCAGAGCCCCATGAACTCATCTCCGTTCGCGTAGACATACTTGCCCCTGTCCTGCCCAAAAAAGGCCCCAACGCATGACATGGTTCTCTGAAAAAAGAATTTCCCCCACCTGAAACTGACCATCCGCCCAGTCGCCCTCGTACGAGTCTCCTTGAGCACAAGAAGCTGCCAACCCCCCCCCCACAAGAGACCCTCCTTGGAGGTTCGTGGTACTTAATAACCCATTAGAACTGTATTTATAACCCACTCCTAAGCCCCTGGATTACCCTAACATGGCTATAAATAATTATGACTCATAACTTATGAAGTGCAAGTACTCTTTGCTTACTAAGTACCACGAACCTCCAAAGCAGGAGGGCTCCAAGAGCTCAAGCTGAAGCTGCCCCCCCCAAGGCTCCGTTGGCCAACTTCAGGATGCCAAAGCCGTGCTTCTTGCCGCGCTGGCCAGGTGGTGGCTTCCGAAATAATGCGGGGGTTCCTTTTTTGGGGGGGCCCCTGTTGTAGGGGAATCCTACTCGTTTTTGGGGATCTGTTTCAGGGCTTCATGGGGTCCTTATTCCTAGATTCGTGACCCGCCAGGCTTCGGAGCACTCACATGCGGGAAGGAAACAGACAGGGCTTGCAGCAGGGCTTGGGGCTTACAATGCTTCGGGCAGCTGCGGGCTTGGGAACCCCAAGCCCTAAACCCTAAGCCCTAAACCCTAAACCCTAGGCGTTCTGGCTTAAGTGTCGTGTAGTTTCTCTTCGGAGTCCACGCACCCATAGCTGGCTACCCTAGTGCGGCTTTCAGCCCACGAACCTGGTTTTCGCTGTACCATATTTATCTGGAGGCGTCACACCTAAGAGCCGCTCATCTGACTGAGTCTGGCTACTGCGCCTAACCCGGCTGGCGCCCGGGAGCTGACCTTTTTACTTGAGGGGTGGTTCCCTCCTGGCTTCTGGTCAAGCCACTGCACTAGCTGTCCTTTACAGGGCCTACTGCATTTCTCCGTATATGGGATCATCTATCTTTCCTCTGCTGGTTTTCTTTGCTGGATTTGGAGGGGATATTGGGATCCTGGACAGTCGCCTTGCCACTTTGCCCTGGCCAAATCACGGCTCGACAAGAACCAGCCTGGCACCGGCGGCACAGACGCTTACGCTGCCGAGCTCGCACTGCGCTCCGAGGAGCAACAAGTGGCTTGGTGGTCAAACGCGACACAGTTTTGCGTGCAATTCGAAGGCTGGCAGGTCACCATTCGAAGTCTCAGCTACCAGGGCAAGCTCAAAGCTTGCTGCAGGCGGACTCCGGTATGGCGACACACTCTTGGTGCGGCACATGCTACGCCAACCGATCTTCCAAGGCCTCGTATTGCTCAGTTTGCGGGGGTGCCCTGCAAACATACACGACACAGTGGAATCGGGATGCATCGGCTTCACCGCGACGCCGGACGGCTCCCTCTCCCCGACGTTCCAACCGGGGGAAAGATGCACCACAGCATCCGAGACAAGGCCCGGGAAAGGGGAAGCAAGCCAATGCTACCCGCACCGGGAAGGGGGGCGACAAGTCTGCCAGGACGGAGATCTCGACCGGGCCGGCTTTAGCCCCACCTCCAGGGGAATGGCAAGCACCGAATGCGACGAGCTTGCCACCACCACCTGCACAACCGGCCCTGCCGATTGCGCCAGCGGGTGCAATGTCCAGTGGCAGCATTTCGCAGGACAGAGCCGCCCTACAGCAATTGGTCGCGGCGATGGCCCAAAGCAAAGACAAGCTGCCCGAACACGTCAAGGCGCTCCTGGAGACACACCAGATGCAGGAGACGGAAGAGGAGGCCAAGGTCCTTCACAAGGCGGTCACAGCGCAGCAGAAGGCCAGAAAGGAGCTTGCGAAAATTCGTGCGGCGCGAGCAAACTATCTGGCGGGATGGAGTACCTACCTCGGCCAGATCCAAAGTATGCTGCAGCAACAGCTGGAAGACCAGCAGAAGGTCTTGAGCACCCTGGATGCAGGAGAGTTGCAGTGGACCTCGAACTTGGCAGCGGCCTCGTCATCCCTGAAGGCGAAAGTCGGAGGGTCTGCAGATCTGGAAGCCATGGGTATCGACGAAGAAGCAATTGCAGAGGCGGAGGCCGAAGCAGCCGACGCCAAGGTGGACAGCCAACTGAATCTGGAGCAAGAGCTTCAGAAGCAGAGAGAGATGCACCAGGCTTCAGCCAAGAGCTTGCTCGAAGTCGTTACAACTGCACATGCCAAGGCCGCGTCGGATGCAGCCACCGCAGAACAAGACAGGGAAAGGACGCCGAGGAAGCGAGCGCACACGGAGGAAGTCGTTGTTTCCGACGACGATCAAGCCAAGACCCCGGCACCGCACCCTGGCAAGGCCCGAGGCTAGACACATCACAGTGGACGCCTACCCTTGGGCTGACACACACGGTCGCCTTGGAGGATGACTGTGCACACGCTGGCCACGCGATGTTGCTCGGTCTTGCTTTGCAGTATGAAGTTTCTAGGGATTTTGAGGTTCAGCTGATCTCGGACCCTAGGACTTTGGAGGTAGACGATACCCCGAATCATTTCTTCGGGGCTTTCTTCCCTCCTAAGGCCTCCTCCCCTAATAAGGGTTCTGGCTTTTGCTCGGGTTGTATTTGCCCCTCCTCGCTTGCATCCCGATGGGCCAACAGCCGCACGCCCAAACTCGTGCGATTTGCAGAAGTGCAAAGAGGCTGCGATGAAGCCGCCACTGCCGGAGCACCACCTCCTCACTTGCAGGTCCTAAGGTCCTTAAAGAGGTGCCAGGTTCCTAAGGGCCCGCCCTATTGGGCCCCTGCTTTGCCCCCCGCAATGCATGCAACCTGCGAAGGAGGGTGCAACGGACCCTTTGTAGATGAGCCAGAGGATGGCCATCTAGATCGACTTCGCACACAGGTACCCAACAGGAAGGTGTTCATGCCTGCTTATACCCGAAGCCCAGGTGAGGTCAGGTATCGCCGCGCTCATGGCGCCTGCAATATCCATGAAGGATCCGTCAATGGGACCGATGCCTCTCCGGCGCCTCAAGGCACAGAGGTGACATGCGAGGCCATTCAAGGCCCGGCCTCTCCTGAAGGAGAGGGTGCCCATACTGCAACAGGGGATACCGCATGGGTTGCACCAGAAGTCTTTCTTACGCAGGTTCCTCTGGCTGCCCGCACAACTGCTGCATGGCTCAGTGTGGCAACCCCGGTGCCACTAAGTCTGATGGAGGCGCAGGTCGCAGAGAGGTTGCTCAAGAGGAGGCATATGCTTTCTTCGACACCACAGATCACCTGCGCCTACGCAGCATGCAGCCTACGTGGGATTTTCAACAGATCCTGCAAGATGCGGTCCGAGCCTCGAATGATGGACCCATCATTTCTGTGACAGTGCTAAGACCTAAGTTTGAAGGCCTCCCCTCCATCCAGCTCATCCTTAGGGCTGCACATGTCACACCCGGCTGGGCACCGGTTCCTGTAGATCTAAGACAGCTAGGCAGAGGGTTTTGCACATACTCAATACCCATGGACGCCTCCGCCTACGAGGCAGCACTGCGACTTGTCCAGGTCTGCCCGGGGCCCCCCAGAAGGTTTGCCCCAGATGTGGCCAGAGGTCGTTTGAGCCTCGACAGCTTAAGCAAGGCACAAGGCGACCCCTTTGCACCGGGCATCTTGCACCCCACCCACGCATTGGCCGCTAGGGTTCATGTCATGCGTGCAGAATCCTCCGAGTCTGGCACCAGCATAGCAGGGGCTTCGTCAGATACTGACAACAGCACTACTGCTCGCTTCGGTGTTGTTCCGCACGAAGAGCATCATGATGAACTCACAGTTGCCTTCCACACCCCGGGGCGGCCGCCTTGGATAAGCTGTTTTGCGCGGGTTTGCACTCATGCACATCTTGTGGAGGCAGCTGCAAATCACTTTGCTGGCGGTTCAGACGTCCTGCGTTGGAGGTCCCACTTTCTCCCCTTACAGCCGCACCTTGCAGGGGTTGATCTGCACTGCGTCATCTTGCCTGCAGAGGGCGCTGACGCGTGTCATGAAGCTATACTTGCGGATTTCCGGGGGATCTTCGGCCCCTCCCCTCGCGCACTTGTCGCCATTCCATTTGACAGGCGGCTCCCGCAAGTTGAGCAGCGCATCCTGGGGAGGGTACGTCAATTCCTGATTGACTCGGCTCTTGTGGACCCCCCGCAGGATTTCATCCTTTCCCTAGCAAACAAAGGAGGCGTGCTTGCTTTGGCACAACCGGCCGTGCATGCCGTGCAAGACACCATCAATGTCGCTCTGCACTTCCCGGGCCTCAGGCAGACTCTCATGGCGGCCGATGCCACTCGTGCCATCTCGGTTTCCACCACATCAACAACCACGACCACGCCAGATGAGCACATTCCCGCGTCCAGTGCCGCTGGGTCTGGGGATAGCTTCCACAGCCATCCCGCGCCTCGGAATCCCCTTGTGTGCCGATTAGGGATACCCGAATTCGGTACAGTTACTGTCGAGTTCCTCGGCAATCCAGACCTGGGACAGATCTTGGCTGCCCTCTGGCAAGCAGCCGCGCGCAAAAAGGCCAAGCTTGAGGGATTCCTCCTCTCGGTCAACGCGTGTCAACCAGAGCAAAGGGTCGCCTTCCGGGAGATCCTGTTCACACTTGTGCCTGAGCAAGCTACGCGCGGCGCATGGATATGGGTTGACCGACGACCCATTGCTAGCCTCCTTTTTGTAGTGGTTCCATCCAGCAGTACAGCTGAGGCACTACCCCTTGCCGACTCTCGCATTAAAGGTTGGTACCTTAATGGCGTTCGTTGGGATGGGTTTAGGGCTGTCTCTTCTGGGTCACTAGCCGCACCTGGCTTCACACATGAGGCTCCTGATGTCAGGCCGGTGGGGTATTTTCTGGACCGACTACCAGGCATTGCTGCTTGCATGACCCCGATGCAGCCTCCAGACGATAGCCGCCTTGAGCCCTTTGCAACCACTGCCGCAGAATGGCAGCAGCACATCATTCGGCGGCTCATTGACATGGGGCATGCACAGCCGAATCAGCAGGCGATCGTCGTGGGCGAGGGCTTCTTCACTGTTGTTCCCGTCACCGGCCCAGGCAGCCTCCCTGTGATTGCTAACTGGCTTCAAAGGTGGGCACGCAACTGCCCGCCCAGGGCCCGGTTGTTTCAAACCAACGGGGTCCTGAATGGCCGGCACGTCTTCATACTCGGGCCAGTTGACCTTGATGCACAGAAGGAATACTTGCGTCTGAGCACTACCAACATGATGCCCGTGCTTTTCCGGGTGCCACACTATGCGCACCCAGACGAGCTCCGCCGGATGGCACCAATCGAAGATGCTAGGAACAGGCCGGTACCCGGGCGACCCTGGTATGCATGCTATTTTCCCTCTGCAGACTTCAGTGAGCATGTCGACCTGCCCTTGGAAGACTTTCTCCCAACAGATCTGCCACCAGAACAGCCAGGGACTTCAGTGCCATTCGCAGAGGACCTGTCGCCGGAACAGGCACGACGCTGGCAAAGGCCGATGCCTGTGGGACAGCCGCGCCCCCGGCCCGCAGCACAGGACCTGGTTGGACGGCTTGATTCCGCCTGCGCTGTCCAGGATACACAGATGGCAGCCTCCTCATCCATGACCGTGCCCGTGACTACTGTCAGCAGATTCGCCGGTCGACCAAGACCAAGCCCTGCCAGGCCAGTCTTCTACCAGGAAACCAATGCCGAAGCCCCTTGGCCCAGCACAACTTCTTCCACTACGAAC